AATAAAAGATATTTGTAATATTATATTTGACGGATATGCAGCGACTCTCAAATCTGAATTTGTGCATAAATTATTATATTTATAATGTTTAGGTAACACATAAGCTTAATACAATTGAACAACATTAATGCCAACTAAGGCTCTATCTATTATAATTTTATGACTCGTGTGCTTTCTCTTTCTCTCTCACTCTCCCGAACATGTTTGTATTCATACTGCAGTCCGTAAATTACGCGCACGCACTTTGGTACTCCCTGCTGCTTGTATATGTATATAAAATTATACAACGAGGTTTATCGATTTCGACCCACCGCACCAAACGACGACAAGCACACACTTTACACTCACGTAGGTACCTATACATAATATATAAACGGTTTGTATATAATGTAGCAGTATGCCCGCGTGTACACAACTACACATAATATTGTAAAAATTACATGTACTAACTAACAACGGCAAAAAACGAGTAACTGTATAATATATGGCGCGCGTTCTAATAGATTATTCGTGTATATATTACGTGGAAGAAAGAGTTTTTCTAACCCTTGTAAAAAATCCCCCGTCCGTTTTAATCTAATTGGCGTTTATACGGATGATTTTTCAACGTCACCCGGAAACGTCCTTATCCCTTAACATATATAGGACTTTATTGATTCTCCGGATATCCGCCTCAGACATAATTTATGCAACTGTGCCTACTATGTACTATCACAGATATCTACTAGTATACTTAGCGTGTTTCGATGGATATATTTTAACATGCATATCATTTAAGACATGTACATACCTATACAGTATACCCTATACAGGTACCCTCTTAAATCCAAACATCGATCAAAGATCTGATTAAAATTGTCACATGTCTTCGAAATCCGTAATATCTACATATTTAGTTTGTAACATCTAAGAGAATAACGCGATGTACAGTACAAATATAGTTATGCAAATATCTACATGAACATAACAGTAAAAATAGAATAAATATCGATCATTAATATCAATTCAGATATTTCTTAATTAAATATAATATTAATATACTAATAAAACATTGGTACGAATTGTAATAGGTATAACCGATATGTATTAACAAGACAAAAATAACAAATGACCAACACTGCTAACAGTGAATCTATTATAATATATCTAAATATATATATATATATATGTATGAATGTCTGCATGTGTGTGTGTGTGTGTGTGTGTTTGTGTGTGTTTATACACTACTTAGGCTCTATATAACTGAATTACTGAAGACAATTTGTTACAAATCAAAATAAAAGATGTAGATGGATACTTTTATTATCTACATTATCCATAACTTAAATAATAATTAATAAATTATCGACATTGTCGTGAAAGTGTAAGTTAATTAGTACAAAAAAAAGAATAAAATAGACTGTATTGATTAAGAGAAGGCAGTGTTGTACCAATAAGCCACATAGATACTATTTTTATACTACGACTTTGTTGTCGAAAAACTTAACATTAAAAAGTCAACAAGTACGTATCAATATAGTTTTAGTCAGACTCTGGACTCGACACTCACGTTACCCAATATATTATACTTATATACATACTATAAAGTCAGTGATGCTATTTAAAGACATGAGCATCGCAGGACCCATTTCTCCGCTAGGAATTATTTAGAACAATACGTCATGTTTTCATTGCAACTATACTCGTAGCGCTAATGTATTAGCCCAAAGTTGAGCTGGAATAATAATCGAACGCGAAAAAAAAAATGAACGCGGCAATTTCAACAGTCAAAACACGGTATTATTATGCAATATTATTTTGTTCATTTATATCACGTAATACCCGTCAATCAGGATTGGTAATAATAATTTGGATTTGCACAGATAACGGTTTTTTTTTTTTTTTTTTATATCATTGTATTGATTTGCATAGCAAATTGAAATAACATCGAAATGATACGGAGATGGATAAAACAGTTAAATACACATGATAATAATAAATCAATGAATATTAATTCATCAATGTAGACCTGTGCTTTATACATACGTATATGATATATTATAGTAATCAGAATACATGTATTATCGTTATCTGAGATCAATACATTTCGTGACAAAAACCCACCACGATCATAACTTTATCATAGTAGGTAGCTGGTAGGTAGTTATATATTATTATACCCTATGCCATAATATACTGTATAAATATTAATAAATAGTATTTGTATTGTCGTAAATAAATCGATAGGCTTATATATATTATGTATTAATATTTAATAATAGTATATCACTCATAATATATTATGAAACAATTATCACTATATCTTTGCATTTTCCGTCGCACATCGCACGTTTTTACGTATATCAAGCACAATAATATGTATGTTAACATAATAAGTACGTACACTTATCCAGTTACATTACACAGATCAGGAACAAATTCAGATGAATGGAAGGTGTACTCTGTACTCCTGTCAGATTTCCACTATAAATCTCCAAGATTAAATAAATTACTGTTTGAATTTTAAATTATGCTAACGTTAAAGATATGATTCAATACCTACCATCGATATTTGTAATTTATAAAAATTAGGTACCTATATTTAAATAAAATTCTTTTGCTTTTTGCAAAAAAAAAAAATCGTGATTTATCAATAGAGCTTAAAATTAGTAAGTGTAAAGTTAAATTTAAATAATGTAGGTAATTAAATTTCTTTTGTTATATTAATGTATATATAATATATATTATAATATGTATATATGGATAAAATACTAAATTATAAAAATAATATTATAAGACGGCAATATTTATGAATCATATTTAGGTATAATATTTTAATAAAATAGCTGGTCATACCTACAAGTATAATTTAGTATCTATAATACATAATATATAACTATTGGCTATTTATAACATGTTATAAATTATATTGTTTAAATTAAATGGTAATAGATTTATATTACTCCTAATTAGTTATCAAGAATCATTAATTAATTTAATGTTCCTGATTTTTTTTTTTTTTTTTAATTTTTATAAATAGTAAACACTATGAACATATTTTATTCTTACGCACCAAATATGCATCAAATCAATAACAAAAAGTTAAATTTTAAGATATCAAATATGACTATGTTGATTTAACATTTTTTCGTTTATATTTTATTGCAAAATAAAGACATTATTATTATTATTATTATTATTGTTACTAAATAACTTAAAAGTGCTATAATTACCTATATAAGATGAAATAATCATCAAAATGCACTTCCCATTACGGTAACTCTAAAAAGATCAATTATAATACCTATATATATATTATATATAACTGTAGGTACAAGCAGACAAAATTATTGACTAATATAAATTGAATGTGCTTTTGTTTAGTACATACCTAATTAATAATTGAATAGCTTTATTTATATAATAAATATAGCCTATATCTAGGTTGTAACTGTTGTAAGTATTATTGTATTTGTTCAAGATTAAGTACCTACTATAATTTAATACACATAAGTTAACTTACCAAGTATAAGAATAAGTAGGTATTAAGCAATAGGAAGATAAGTACCTACCCTAGGAATAGAACTACATATACACAAGTTATAAGTAAATGGAGTCCCAATAAAAATAAATAATGTATTTTCTATATAATAGTATCTATAGGCTATAATACTTATTTCGATTTTATTCTGAACTGTCTAGTATGTAATATGTAGTTGTTAAAATGGACTCAAAACGAAGCTTTTGTCATCAAGCCGAAATAGCTCAGTTGGGAGAGCGTTAGACTGAAGATCTAAAGGTCCCTGGTTCGATCCCTGGTTTCGGCAGCAAATTTTTTGATTTTTTTTTCATAGTTTTTTTTTTCAAAACAACTTATTGTCATGTCGATGATTGTAATTATCTCTTTAATAAATAAAATCTTATTGATCTGGTTCATTTAATTACTGTTAACAAATTATATTTTTAATTAATTTTTATACAATAACAATGACTAATTAGAATAATGTAAATATTTTTAAATTTAATATTTTTATTTGATGACTAGATATTTCAAACAATTTTTACTAATATTTCAGAATAGATAAAATAAATAAAATATTTTTTAATAATTGTTAAATGTAAATAAATTGAATAGTAACTTACCAAGAAAACTCGCCTCCATAAGCAGTTTATGACAGTAAAAATAATCTTCAATACTTTTATATATAAATATTATATTAAACTTAAACATTATGGATGGAAAAGAGAGGTTTTAAGTTATTTAACAAAAATAAAAGATATGATAAAAACTGATCATTACAAAATTCGTATCTACTTATTAAAAATTAAAAATATTTACTATCTATTTGTACTACGATACTACGAATATACAATAAGCAAATTCGTTGTTGAAATGAATATAAAACATGCTTGTATAAATTAAGAGAAACTCTTGTGATACTACTTTAAATAGTATTCGGGGTTTGGTTTAAATTTCATTTTATTTTATTTTGTGAAGAAGAGACCACTTGACCAATTTCTCTTGGAACAACGAATGATTAGGATTACCCACCTCCTGGTGATGTTGTAATAGATTTTGTGGGATTTTAAACATTTTTAGTAAAAAAATTTCATAGTAACCGGATATGAATGCTTAAATGTTGTAGAGGTGCTGGTGTAGCATGTGGTTATTAATGAAACAAGGAACGTTAGCTATGAGACGAAAATTGTGGAATAAAATAATTGAAATAATTTTAAGTTGGATGTTTTGGTAGACACTCAAAGTAGAATGAAATGTAGGTCGAATTTAATAATATCATTGAAAAACTGTATATTATATCGAATATCGATTCTGCCTTGTCGTCATCGTTGTAATATCACAATTATTACGAATAACAATAATAAAATATTTTTTTGTTTTTCGATATGGTAATACAATATTATAAGAATAATCTTTATTACATGGATACTGGTTAAATGCTTATTTTTATAAATTCTTCTTAATTTTTTTTTTTTTCATAACAACAATATTTACGTTACAGGATAAAATATGGCGCCCGTTGACAAGTCGACCGATGGATCCGATTCGGCCGACAAATCGGGCACAGCGTCACCTTCGATCAGCGAAAATAAGACAGCTGGAGGCACATCGGGCCAAGGACTCGACCAGTCTGCCAGACAGGGTACGCCTGTCCAAGATGGTGCGGGTTACGCCGATACGACAATGAGTTCCAAGCTAGAAAACGCAGACGTCTCAAGTAAGTACCTACACATCGAACACTTCCTACACGATACATCCTATACAAAACCATACAGCAACTTGTGCTGTGGTATTCAATAAAATAATAAATGGTGATATAACATTTCTTCTAATGTCTCAGCCGCTATTTTTCATCTCGCACAATTTATATTACTTTATTAAGACCCCATCAAATTTCAAATGGACCACCGTTTAAGAAATGTACCGAAAAATGATTTATTAATATTTTCAAAAAGCGCCTGTCGCTTACACGAATACTACCTTCTCTATTATCATTTATTATATTTCCATTCGTTCACGATTGATCCGTAAAAATGACTAAACATTATTTTCTAAATTATTAAACTCGTTTTACAGTTATAGGTACCTGTATAATACACGCGCATAATACATAATATTAAAAAAAAAAATGTCACAAAAGTACATGTCTTACATTTTGGCCATTTTGCGACGGGCCACTAATACCGAAGAGTCAGTTTATAAATGAACGGCTTTTGCGGAAATTTTTATTGCATGCTTTGATACATATATATTAGTGGATTCTTGGTCTCCTTAACAACCCCTTCCCAACCATCCACCACGCACACACGTGCCCGTGACAATGACACCGTAGCAAGGGTAAAATAGTCAAATAGACACAATAATATATTGCATTATTTAACTGTAAATTGGACAAGACAAAACGAATAAAATATATAAACAGATATGCTATAAAACAATATTATACTTAACTGATTTCACTGTAATTGTATTTATCTGCAGAAACTAAACTATCTGACAAAGATTTGAGGACGCCAAGCATACCGTTCATTACGTCCACGCCAAACACTTTGACTCCAACGGATAGTTCGGAAATGCCGCCATGGGCGTCTTGGTCTATAATAATAGGTCAGCAACAGTTTTCTGTAAATTAATACCAGCAAACTTAAATATTTTGTACAATAACTTCATTAATTTAATTATTTAAACTTATACGATATTATGTGTATATAGCGGTAGTATTACTAGCCGTCGGATTTGTGGGCTTTTGCATACACAGATTCTTCAGAAAACGAAGAACAAAAGATGGCAAAAAAGGAAAAGGAGTTGTCGATCTAAAAGCTGTCCAACTATTGGGTTCGGCTTACAAAGAAAAAGTAAGAATTTCTAAGCAAATTAAACATCGTAACTCTGATGATCGGTTTCAGTTTAATTAAATAAATGTATAAAAAATCTACTTTCAGTACATATTACAATAGGAAAACTTTTTTAACGAATTTTATATCATCGGAAGTTACAATTTCTACTATTTTTAGATACAACCAGACATGGAAGAATTGGCTGATAATGCGGAGGAAATCGCGGAAGAAGGAGACAGTACGAAGGACGAGAAAAAATTGGGAAGATTACAGTTCAAGGTATAATTACACAGTAATAATATGTCTATATGTCTGACTTCATTTCTAATCGGGTGACATGGGTAAAAAAATTATGTACGTGTGACAGATGGAATACGATTTCCAAGGCAATACTCTTTCCGTGACTGTGATCCAAGCGGAAGACTTACCTGCCCTGGACATGGGAGGTACTTCGGATCCGTACGTGAAAGTTTACTTATTACCGGACAAAAAGAAAAAATTCGAAACTAAAGTGCACAGAAAAACGCTGAATCCCGTTTTTAACGAAACATTCCAGTTCAAGGTACGCATTTTAATTTATTATTATTTTCTTAATTATCAGTTATGGGTTTATGACATGAACGTACCCAAAATCTAATATTAAATACCTGTACAGGCATAATCTGTTGAGTCAATTAGTCTAAATTGAGGGAAAGGACAAGGGTCTCTATCATTTGGTGGTGGAAAAATACGGTGAAATCCAAAAGTGCAAGTTCATTTTCCGCTTTTTTACCTTAGTATAGGATAAAATCACAAAAATAAATATTGTACCCGTTAGAATCGTTACACTTTAAGTTTGATTTAAAATTATTTATTATTAAACTAAATTATATATTTAAATTAAATATATACTATTTTTATAATTTAAAAATACATCAACAGTGGTCGAGTTCAGTTGAAATTTAGTATTATCGTATCGCATTTCATCGTAACGATTTACAGTGAAGGTTGATAATCGTTTAAGATAACTATACAATATATTATACAGTATAAACTTAAGTTAAATGGTATTTGACTGTGGGCTTCAAATTTCAAATTTAATATTAAGATACTCATTATAATATTATACTTCTAATATGTAATTTAAATTTCAAATTTATTAATTTATTTTATAATCACCAAAAGCTTAATATTAATAACTATATGATTTTAATAAAATACACTTTATTTTTGTAAAATTTATTTGCCATTATGGTTTGATTAAAAGGTATTTTTTTTGCGCTCAATGCTTATGGAATATTTATTTTTACGCTTCTAGCTTGCGTTTGGATCATATTTTGTGCTTTAGGGCTACAGTCGAGAAATTTATACATCGTTTCTACCCTCTTTTTTAAGCTCTATTTTATTGAATATTACAATAATTTATTTTTTTATTTTTTTTAATATTATTTTTTATCTGAATTTTCAATAGTTTTTTGTAATTACTAATTTATTGTTGAATTATTTATATTATAGGTAAATATACCTTATGTTTTGCTAATTTTTATACGATAATACTAACTTGATATATTTTTACTAATTATACAATTGTATACTTAATTCATAGACTACTATATTATAATATTCTCATTGATAGATTTATATTATTAGTTAATTAATTAAGGGGTCGAAGAATTTCATTTCCTTCTCACTATATTTTTAACTACAAATAGGTAAACAAAAGATACTCCAAAAGTTTGCTACTGCCTACCTACCTGTATAATATAAGCGCGTACAATGTTCGACATCGACATATTGCGTACATATATCATTGGGCTGCACATATTATTATATATTTATTTTATTTGTATTCCTTTCGTCATCCCACAGGGAATACCTTATGCAGATGCGATGAACAAGACCTTGGTGTTTGCCATTTTCGATTTTGACCGGTTCTCCAAGCACGATCAAATAGGAGAAGTAAAAGTTCCCTTGTGTCAGATTGATTTGGCCCAGACGATTGAAGAATGGAGAGAACTGCAGTCGGTCGAAGGAGAAGGAGGACAGGTCAGTAATAAAAAGCGATCGTGGCGAAGTTTTTATAAGAATCTATATTATATTTTAATTATAAGCTTTTCCTATATTATTATATTGTTCTTGTCCATAAGTAACATAATATTATTATTATTGTTATTATTACTATTTATTTGTCGTACTGATTGTATACACGGAAAAGTAACTTGTGATTTTTTTCATGATAAGAAAACTTCATCGAAATCATTTGAAGTATTTCTCCGTTTTTGAGTATTTCAGAACAAGACACTAATTTCTAACTACAAAATTTTAAAAGACAAATGATAATATTGTTACGATAATATTTTATTCCACTGTCAATCGGATCATTATAGCCAATTATTAGGTAAAACTTATGTGTAATTTCTCAAATCTACAGCGGACAGGAACAAATAACACTAATTCATGGCTATTTTCATATAATATAGATAATATTAGTTTTATTCTCTAACTCATGTTTATTTTATATTTAACTATTATTTGAATTTAATCCTTATTTTTATCTACTTAATTAATTCATTGGTTAATTTTGGGATCAGTGATTTTCGTATAAAACAAGCATGCAATACTTTTCTATTCTATATATTATTATATTATTACACACACATACACACACACACATGTATAATATGTACAATTATAAATTATTATTTATTAGATATATTATATGTGTGACTGTGTATGGTGTGTGGTATATGTATACAGGGTTTTTTTTTTAAGTGAACCGGCTATGTTTCAAAGAATATTTGTAATTTTTTTTTTATTATTATTTTTTTCTATACTATGCATTATTCTAATTTTTTTAGAGTATCTACTAAAACTAGAATAGTATATGGTTAAACGTTTCAAGTAAAATAAAACTAAAATACAGGTATTTCACAAACTATACATACAATTCTGATGTTTGGTTTAAAAAACACCCTGTAAATATATATTTATATATACACTTACATTTACATTATATATACCTATATATATTGTTGCAATATTTTATTTCTTCTTTACATCTACATTTTTTTCATATTATTATCTATTGTTGTTCGCAAGCATTGTATTTTGTTATTTTTTCTGTTTGTATTGTTTTGGTTTGAATACAAAAAATCGACCCGATTTTTTTGGAACACGGTGCACCACGAAAACCAACAATGTAAAAAATATATACTCACGTAAGTACGACGGCCTCCTCGGCCGAAATATAGCCCTGTGTCATACCAAAATGTGTGCTGTGTCTCGTGTTTTTGTGGTGTTCTGCTAATATTATGATTTTTTATTTATTATTATTTTTTTTTATATTTATATAAATATAATATTATATATACTACAGTTTTATATTTAAATCCTTTGTTTTCGATGTTCTAGGAATATATTTTTAGATATTCATGCGTTTGACAGTTTTTCTCGTTGAAAGAAAATGGACGTGACTTTTTCACGATTTTTCCCTCGTCAACGACTAGCGTTGACGTTATATTTAATTTTATTATTGTTGTGATCAAGTGTCGCAGACGCAGAATTGGTATCAATGGTCTAAAACTAAACGACCCTCCCCCTTTTCCCACACGCGAATGAACTTAATACAATTCATATCTATACACGCCGCCTTTAGTAATTATTCCTATCGAACCATTGTGTATCTTACCGCATATTTTAATTAACAATTAAATATCTACTTGGATAATAATTATAATTGTAAATATTTTTTGGCACAGATAAACACTAATACCTACTATAAAAAACCGTTAACACTTCTTGTTAAAAGTGAAACATCATGATTCATGGCATATTAAATATATATATATATATACCATGGTTATTAAGCTAACATAATAACTTATAATAGTATATTATTTCATGCTAATACATTTTTAAAAATTTGTTATTGTTATTTGCACGCATTTAAAATTCATAAAAAAGAACATCTCTAAGAATATTTTGCTATTCATGAGGTTCTTGTTTTTACACAAAAAAATGTATGACTTACTAACTAATTGTAAACATTGCTACAGTATTTGTCAAAATATTTCATTGAAAACATAAAATAAAAAAATTATCTTAAGATCGTATTTTAAAAACAATATTCATAACTTGATGTCAATAACTTAATTAAAAATTATACAAAGGTTTAAATTATTACTAATATCTATAAATAAAATAATAACAGCAAAATATTCTAACTCTTATTACTTGATAATTTTTGTTGACGTCACGTTTCAACCGTTTTGCAATGTTTAACTACGAGACGAATATTATAGTTTTCATTAGCTATGTTTTTATTTAATATAAATTATTATTGAATATTACGTCAATACCGTTATATCATTAAAGAGTGACATTCTGTTCCAACACAATGCGAAATAAACAATTTACATTTCAGTTATTATTCTATTCAAAACGCATATGAATCATGCGTGCATAAAGATCATTTAGTTATTTCATTAATTACTCATTAACAGAGTTGAAATATACACAATAGTTCGATATTATTAGGTAGATACATTTTTATCAAAAACCGACCGATATATTATATTAAAATTAATAATAAAAACTGTTCACAACGTGTTACTTGTAATATTAATGTATTTCCTTTGATACCAATGTCAAGTGTGAGCGAAACTATTTTATACAGTAGTTCTCTGGAAACATGCAAATTTTCACGTATATATTATTGTTGATCTAAAGGTTATGTTTTTGTACATAGACATTGAGTAACATTTACGTACAAAAACAACGGTATGATATTATTTTAGATTTAATTAGGTTCAGTGTATTAAATAATATTATTAGCATATATATTACATAGTATGTATAATTGTGTTGTAGGTATTTATTGGCGCTGAATATAATAATAATAAATAATAATAACTATATCACGGTATTACGTTAATTTTGTATAAATACGATGTTTTCATTAACGATAAAATATAAGTTAAACCATGCAAAAAATCAAAAGATAAACCTAGATGCTTCACTTTTTAGTTAATTAATTTTCTTGACAATCCAATTAAATGCAACTAATATTTTTTAAAAGTAAAAAAAAAACACAATTTTTTTTCGATGTTTCAATTTAAGAATATCACGTCATATACCAATGTTCAAACATCGACAGCGTATATCATTAATCGGAATTGAAAATAAATTGAAAAACATTCTTAGTATTTTATTATGAAACACCTTATATCATATTGACAAAACCTGGTCGCTAAACACCCAGGCACAATATAGGGTGTCTAGTATAATAAACGTAATATTATGTTCTATAAGGAGTAGCCTACAATACGTATTAAATTAACCTATAGTAAATATTATATTTTATTGTTGTTATACTAACATTACTGTTTTTATTATTATATTACATAGAGCAGTGGTGCTAGACCTTATATAGCGTAGAATGTCAAAACACTTAGGTATAGTGGTTACTTAGAATTTGAATATTTCAAAGTGTTATTTAAGACCTACAATAATAATAATTTAACATCATTAGATTCAAAATTCATATCTAGTGGCACAAATCATTTGGAACATGCTGTATTACCTAGTACAAGTTCCCGTGTAAAAAATCAATATTTTTTTTTTTTAGAAAATTGGATTATTTTTTTTTGTACCGATTCGAAAAATTATATCTACAAACATGCCTTAACATTAAAACTATTTGTTTTACCCTTTTCCAGGACAATAAGCTGGGAGACATTTGCTTCTCATTGCGTTACGTGCCCACTGCCGGAAAACTTACAGTGGTGATATTGGAAGCTAAAAACTTAAAGAAAATGGATGTTGGTGGACTCTCAGGTAATAATACGACAAAAATCATCGTCTAAAATTGTATCATACGATAAGTTTCCTATACTCACGTAGTTTTCACTGATCATTAATATGGCGTATGAATGTATAATAAAATATTGTTACTGTATAGATCCGTACGTGAAGATCGCATTAATGCAAAATGGGAAAAGGTTAAAGAAAAAGAAAACGAGTATAAAAAAATGTACCCTCAATCCATACTACAACGAGTCGTTCACATTCGAAGTGCCATTCGAACAGATACAAGTAAATACAATTTTAATTTTCAAAAATTATAATAATATAGTATTTTCGCATTGTAGATAAAAGATACAATGTAAAAAATAATAATAATACCTATACAATTTAAAATTGTATGAAAAAATGAAATGTGTGTAAATAGCATATTAATATTATATTTGTATATATAAACTAAACAAGATAAATTGTTATCTCGTTGATAATTTTATTAGTCTAAAGCTCTAGAACATAATTTAATATTCAATAAGCTAAAAATCTTAGTTACCTTAAAAAAAAATGGTAATTTTAACTGTCCCCTGATTTTAAATGTCAAAACTTCGTTGATTAAATCGATTTTATAATAAAACTTGATTTTTTTAAATTTGCCAAAAAAAAAAAATAAATAAGTTATTAAAATAATATATAACATAACAACCCATAGGACAGAAAGTGAGATTGTTGACTGACTTTTTAGTTTCCGTCGTAATTTTATAGCTATGCAAGCATACATTTTAATTATTTCTGAATTCACTTTTAAAGTTCAAGGTGACGCTATCCAAACAATTTATGAATTATTTGTATGACTAGTAGTTTAATATGAAAAAATAGCTCGCCAATATTTGATTTAAAGTATGAAATCAAAATCGAAATAGAAATTTTTATATTATTTATACAGTGTTTTGGTTATCCCTTAAATGATGGAAAGAATAAATACCTACGTGTGTATTTTTTTATATATATATATATACCTTAATTGCACGCGTTGTAATAAGCTTAATTTTATCAACACCAATTTCCACAAAGAATTATTTTTTGTGGATTTCAGTAAGCCAATCAGGTTTGAAATTTCCAAGTTTAAAAAATTTGTGTAATAGAAATTTAATTATTAGATATATCCTTATGAATGCATAACATGTACAATTATTTTTATAAATCGGTAATTTCTGACCTGCTTGGATAAGAAAATACTAATTTCATATTTTTAATTATTAAAATTAGATAAAATTATAAAAATAAACTAGTATGTATCATGTTTTTTAAGTAAAAAATTAATAAATATAGTAATTTTATAATTTTATGAAAATTTTAAAAATTTTAAAAAATATTATAATTTTTAGAAAACCAAAAAACTTAAACACATTTAAAAAAAATTACATTGTTACATTTTTTTTTTTAACTTTTTTGAATGTTAGTATACAAATATTTTTAACTTCAAATTCTGAAACATATTATTTTTCTGTAAATTTCAATAAATAAAGATAAAATACCAAACGAGTGATTAATTAATTATAACTTATAAGTTTATAAATTATAATTATTTAAATTTTAGTGGAGAAGGCAAATATTTATCAAAGTAAGTTAAGTTAAATAAACTTTTTAGCTCTATAACCCTAGTAAAATATCCATTCTAAGAACTCCACTCCACTAATCTAAACTTTAAATATTTGTAACTAATTAATTACTCGTTCATAATTGAATTTTTATACATAATATATTGAAATTAAAAAAAAAAAGAAAAAAAGATTCCTGTAGAGCATAAAATTATATAATTAAGCTCTTTTAAAAATGTAGAAATCTAAAATATTTCAGTGTAAAAAATAAAAAATAGATATCATTTCAACAGCAAAATTTTATTTTGTAATGACTTCAAACTATCTAAAAAAAAAAAATTCAAAACCTTAAGCTTTCCGAGTAAATTAGTGTTTACATTCAAAACAATAATTTTGTATAAATTATAAATATAATATACTTAATATATGCAACGAACTGTTTCACTATCCTTGTCACGGACACAATGCTTTGATGCGTTTTATATTATTTGTAAGCCAACTTTTATGATTTTAATTAAATATATAGTAAAATTGTATAACAAAAATATTTGGTTATACACATAATACACATCTTTAAAAGTTTTCTCGTTTCTCTTTTACGTGACTATATTATATTGCATTTCGTGTGTGTGCCATTTTATGGGTACCTAAGTACTTGTACCTGACATACAGTATGCAAAAGCTATTTGATTACAGTGTTACACTACCTTTAGCTCTCAAACTAACTCTCAAGATTTAAAGTCAAAATTATTGTTCCTATCACACCGATCCACGAAAACTGTATAAAATCAATACGTTATAATTACTTGTTGATGTTTAAAAAATTATTCGATCATATTCCATTTATTACAGCTAGAATATTTCTATGGAAAACATTATCAATTCGTGGTAACAAGTCGGGAATTGGATGAAATATTAAAGTCGTGTGTATTTCATTTATATTCAATTTGTATCAAATTCAATTTTTAAAGTAATATGATAAGCTATCACCTATCGCGCACAAAAAACGTCAAGATGTCAGCGCACTATTTGTTTCATATCTCTTAGGTACACGCACAACACAAGAATATGCGTTTAGCAAAACTAATTCGGTATACAGCTGTTGAGGTGTTGTTGAATTTTTTAGAGTGAATTAATCTATTGTTTAACTTAAATTTAAAAACATTGCCTATAATTATACCTTTGTTTTTTTAGGTATTTCAATTTTTATACATGAATGCATATGTAAAATACTGTAGTTTAAAAATGATTATTTTATACTGTATAAAATTGAAATATCGTAAAAAATTCCATGTGAACACAGAGCTTATAACGCTCTTTACAATAATTTTCATAATGCAACAATCCATTTTAAAATTAAAGCTAAAAATAAAAGATTGGTTCAGCTCAACACTAATTTCCTACGTGACGCGTGAGTCGGAAAGAGAGAGAACCAGTTGTGTAAACACCCTCATTAACTTAAACGTATACTTATTTATATCAATTTATTAGACACATCTGTCATTACAACTTGCAATTTAAAATATAAAAATGTCCTTTTTAACTTATCAAATAAACTCGATTTATGCTTAAACGCTTTTGACATTAATATTATCTAAAATAGTGATTGCAGATAAACCTAAAACCTAAATAAAAAAGCTCATAAAAATAGTCTAAATTATTTGGTCATCCCTAGTCTAAGTATTCGTTATTGAACACGATTATTTTCCATTTTACGTTAGTTAATATATGTATTTTCAGTTAAAATTGCTTCATATCTTAATGAGTTAAATACTTTTTATACTTAAAATTCGTTTTTTTTTTTTTAATACATATCAACATAAGATTTCATTTTATTAATAGAAATGTCTATAGCTTCTACACTAAGTGAATAATTTAAAGTTAAGTAATACTGAGATTATTGTACTAAGCTATTATGATAACTACCCTTCAGATGAAAACACTAAAAATGTATGGTATTTTTCCGTACCTAATACAATGAACCGATAAATTCATTAAAGAATGTGGTTATTGTCTGTCGACCGTCTCATCGAGTCAAAATTAAAAGTGTGCCGTTTTTAGATGCAACCAATAATTAAAATATGATATACTCACTCTTCGGCAAGAGTCGTTTTTATACCGCTTATAAGTTATACTACCTATACTTGTCTATTAGGCCTTTATTCTAATATATCTCATTTAATAATTACGGCTAGAATTTATTTATATGCAACATAAAATAGTAAAATATGCGTTTAATTTTGTTAGAATAATTTATCATGTTATTGTCGGGTTGCATGAAAAATTGATTAATTTAATGGTCCAATAAAATTTAATGGACCATTACATCATGTTTAAGGGGCCACTATTATAGCTCACTACTGATGCATTATAATATTTTTAGTGATTACTCGTGCAATCCGGCATATAACATGCATTATAAATATAATAAAATATTTAAAGGATTTATCAATAATTGTTCTATTAGTGACTAACTACTTATAAATCGAGTGAACGGGAAGCATCTTTTAGTATTAAAATATACCGAGTTAAGTCAAATGTATGTAGACTAAATCGGTTTTTATTAACCTTAAGTACTTTCACATAAGTCCATTTTTTCGTTCAGCACGAGAAAAATTACCGATTTTATGAAATTTAAATAATGACGAATCTAGTCATTTACACTATTTTCATTTAAACGCATACTTAAAAACTACATTTTTCATGTTAGTGGTAAAAATATGGAATGATTTTCATTGTACTAAAAATATGCAAAATGAAAATTACAACTTTTATACTATATCAAAATGAGACGATCCGTAAACATTAGTAACGGGTACTCGTATTATAATTAACATTTCCGGGGTGCTGAACAATTCTTTTTAAAGGAACACCAAATGGAAAAAAAAAGCATACCGATGCGTGGTTTAAGTGCTAGCTCTGTAAACATGATATTTTTAATGAAAAAAAAAAAATAATAAAATATGTATTATAACCGTGGTGTTCGAATGCTTGCAGAAAGTCAATCTGGTAGTGACGGTGGTCGACTACGATCGCATCGGTACGTCTGAGCCCATCGGCAAAGTGGTGTTAGGCTACAACGCCACCGGCACCGAATTGCGGCACTGGTCCGACATGCTGGCGTCGCCGAGACGTCCGATCGCGCAGTGGCACACGCTGAAGGATCCGGACGACGACGCGAAAAACTAAGAGAACGTTTACACACATGCAAGAACCGACCGGACGGCAGGACATCGCCGACGGTCACCCGTCGTCGCTTGACCACGCTCGCCTCCTTCCCCCCCTCCCCATCCCCATCCCACCAACAGCGGATATTGTAATACGATGTCATGACAGAAAATAAAACACCTCAAAACAACACGCGACATCCGGAATCCGAAACACAAACGGACACCCACAGCACACCTGATGATATTATATAAATAATAAATATATAGGTAACACCGTAGGTACAAAACAATATCGAAATAGGTAGATCATGCCCGAATACGATTGCATGCCCGAACGAGGAAACGCGTGATGTCGTGCATCGTCGTGTTTTCGCGGGCGTATCGTTGTTATAATGTTACGAAACACCTGTTTATTATTATTATTATTATATTATTGATATTGTCATTACGAAATATAATATTATGCGTGCTTACTTCCTCGTCCGGCGCGTGGCGGTTGTACACGTCCGACATTGCCGTTCCTTGTTTTCGCGCGGACTATACAGCGTTTTTCATCATCATCGTATTATTACTATTATCATCTAACAGCCATTACAGTTGTCGTCAACCCGTAACACTCGCCGTCCGACGTCTTCCCCTTCGTCCCTTGTCCCGAAAAACTATTCATCCGTTCGTAACGCATTGTAATAGGTACCGAACAAAACACTTGACCGACAACCGCGACAGCCGTAGACAATTATTCAATACTATTAATAAAATGTATAATTTATGTGTGACTATTGTTTTACGTACATTATACGTCCGAGCGTGAACTAAGATACCTATTGTATACACATACCTACATGTGTGTACCTATTTTAATCCATGCGTCCGGTCTACCGTGGTACGCACGTCTTGATAATATTATGATTTACGATCGTCGCGTTTGTCGTTCAGGCGCCGACCACAGAGATATCATTGTTGTACGCGACAACGTATTTCAGTGGCACAGCCAGGGGGAGCTATATAGACGTCGCGTGTCCCTCCCCGAGATTTCCGAAAAATTTAAAAACGCTTATCTAAAAACAACAAGTAACCGTGTAGGTATTAAAAATACAGAGTCGAAAATTTCACATACTCACGACATCAGCCGTTATACATCCCCTAAACAACAAATTATCAACCGGCCCCTACCCCTCCCCTTCCTCCAAAAACAAAAACTAATGACATGACTATAATATTACAAAACACATCGTAATATAATATACACCGATGTCTTCTCTGCGTTATTATTATAATTACATAATATAGGTAGTAATATTGCCGTTAATAATAATATATATATATATAATATGTTGCCTATATATCATCGCCCTGAAAGGTAATATATTATTATACATAGGTAGGTACTCTCGTCTTTTTATCGTTTTATTTTTTCTTCTCTTCTTGTCCTGGCGGAAATTATATACCTATTTATGATAAAAATTAAAAATAATATTACATTAATAAATATATTATATTATATTATATATAAATTACAATATTATCTTCGTTAACCCCCTGGGGGGTGTTGTTCTATACTAAGCCACTGTTATTCGCTTCATGTAAACATTATTTAGTTTTAATACACCTACCGACCTATATCTAGTTCAGAAAATAATACCATCGTATTATTATTATTATTATTATTATTAATAAATATATATATATTATAATATATATTAAATTATATTAAGTTCTCTGTGTAAATACTATTTTACCACCATTATTATTATTTATTTTATTATTATCATTACGTTTTGTTTAATCGGATAGATTTAACACGTTATTATAAAATAGTCTTCGTTATTTAATTGTAATGAAATTGTTATCCTCGGTAAGACCGGAGAAATGCGTTTATTAATGAATCGTCAGAACAAAAATTTCATTCTTTACAAAAAACACCTCATCATACATCAATCCTAGTCAAAACGATATTACGATAACACGACTCTATGTTATATCCCGGAAAAACGTTACATGGACATTTTTAATAGACGCATGTTTCTTGTCAATCTCGTTTATATTTATTCTCTAAATTATAATTTACCATCATTTCGAATAATAATAAGTAAAAAAAGTGAAAACAACGATAACAATAACACAACATATTTTAGTCAAACAAAATATACCTATTAAATTATATTCGTAAAGAAATGTACTGTTTATCTTGTTATTGTTACTTATTTATGTAAAATATTGTATTATATTCGAAAAATATTATTAGGTACTTAATTAATATTATATATTAAAAACGAAATAAATGAGTAAGTCTATACTATATAAAATAATAAGAGCGCGTAGAGCGGGAATAAAAGATACGTTTCGATCGCAAGGCCCGAGATTTTGTCTGTCATTAAAATATTATTATTATATTATACTGTGCTCGCATTTCCTCTTATTTTAATATTGGTAGAGAATAATGTTATATTTTAGAGGGATAGGACGGATATAGATATACTGTTCACCGATAATGACATTATCGGTGCCTGTCTATTTCAAAAGAATACCTAACGTATTCCAAATTTCTTAATGATTTTTTTCTCTGTATACCTATATATATATATAATATTATTATATTTTAATATACCTAATGCCCACTATAATCAGTACCTCTATAGATCTTCGCCAAACGGGACAGTAAAACAATGAGCAGCTAAAATAACGTTTTCATCGCTTTAAAAATGTTGCCATTATAATATACTATATACCATAATATAGGTATATAGATTATTCTGCATGAATGGCATACATATAAACATACATCATATATTACAAAAATTAAAAAGAACCCAACGTTCGAACGCAAACATATTAAAGCCAATGTTCCGTTTTACATTACTTTTTGTCCATTTCGAAGTGAAAATTAAAGTCATTCGTGTAATTTTTTAACAATATAATATTATATATACGTATATTATTATTATTATTATGAAAAGCGATGTAAATTTGTGGGACTACAAAAGACATAAACAACTGAAATACAAAACAATATATATATATATATATAATTTTTGTCGAGTAAAAAAAAACATTAGGTACATAAAATATCAGAATTGATTAACGAAATATAATAATAATAATTGTGTTCCTGCGGGCCGATTATACCGAAACGTCTGTATCGATAATACAATATTGGTTAAAAATATTGTTTGTTATTTTATAACAATTGATTATAATTTTTTTTTTTTTTTTTTTCATAAGCTATCCCAAAATCGTGTTGTATTTTTTGGTTTAAAAATAAAAAAAAAAAAATCATAAAAAAATGTATAATATATTAATATATACAATACTGTAATGTTGGATAAATATATATGTTAAATAGCGCATTAGAACTACACTAATAAATACCTATATAATATTAAAATGTAAATTATAAACCTAAAATATGTATATTTACATATTTTTTATCCTTATATCACTCATCAATTTACATACAGTACAAAATATATATTGTACGTACGACTATACAAGTAATACAAGTAAATACATTGTACATTGTATAGTTGAATACGTCGTACATGTGTACGACGTATACCCAGATCCCTATTTTCGGATTTTTGTGTATACCTCAAGGAAAATTCGTCTATTATGGGTATACCTACGCCAATTAAAAATGCATACATTAGATATGGGTATGCGCAAGCTTCTACTACATCATCAGTCATAATTAAGATCACAGTATAAAATAAATAATAATAATAATATAAAAATATTATTTTATTATGTAGGTACACTATACTACACTGTCCAAAAATAGCCTCGACCCCATATGAAGATCGGAATTCGGAAACTGCTGAGAAGCCTGTACACTGTTTAGTGTAAATATTAAATATTAACATCAATATTATAGAAGTTTAAAATGTATGCGTCCATAGGGGATATTCCACTGAATTTTATACTGTCAGAATACTACTCACATTCAAACCAAATCTACCCGCTTACATCCTGTTCATCACTAAAATCGCAATTTTGGTTTAATATAAAAAAAATTCACAATCGTACAATGTACAAATATTTGTTTGATAAAGTAAACAAAAATAAGTTACTAAATTTAATTTCAAAAATGTGCTATAGTTGTAAATTTTTAATTTTTTATACGTTGATACATGTGTACGACGTTTGTAATAAAATATAAAGTTTATTAAATACTATTATAATGCTTATTATAAACGTTAAGATATTTTGAGTGAAGCGAGAAAATTTTTTAAGGTATATCTATTCAACTACTTTTAAGTGCGTATACCCATACATTTATTTACCAATACACCACTGCCTATACCTAATTATTTGAGGATATTAACTAGAATGAAATGATTTACTGAATCAAAAGCTATTGAAATATCTAAGAATATAACATTAACCTGACTCTTATACATTTAAAGCCATTCCTGAATAATGGGAAAATTTTACTGCACTAATGGCTGTTGAAAGCCTAGAGTAAAACTCAAGTTGATTTGGCGATAAAAATTATTTAAATCATTGCTCAATTCATTTAATATGTTTTATAATTGATTATATAATTTATTTAAATGTGATAATTTTATATTTTATTCAAGTTAAAATAAAAAAATAACCTATTTTAGGACTTTTTATTATTTAAAATATATTTACATAAAAAAAAAAACATACAATAACACAATATTGAAGGAATATACTACTTTATAAACTTAAAAAATAATTTGTTTAGACTTTTGCTACTTTTTCATCGTCAGATGAATCACTGGAATCTTCACTATGAATATTTGAATTCTTGAAGTTTGTCTATAAATAAAAATAGAAACATGCAATGACATTTTTAGTATTGAGTATTTTCACATTAAATTAAAACCTAAGATATTGACAAACAGTAATATTAGGGATATAATGTTATGTATAATTTATTATTATTATTAAGCAATATTTAAGTGGTATAGGAATAATATAATTAAATATGAATACTATGAAATATATTTGACAAAATAATAAGGAAATAAGTAGATTAGTAATTACACTCTAAAACTTACAGACTACATTTATTAAACAGCATTTATATTTTTCTAAATTAATATTTCATTTACCTTTTTTTCTAAATTATCTATATTGTATTTAAATATTTCTCCCTTGGACTCTAGATTATTTTTAATTCTTAATATAGCTGATTTATTAATGTCTTCAAGAGTAATTTTCTCTAAAGCCTTGTCTAATACGTTGCTAGCTTCAATGACGTTACCTTGATTAACTAAATCAAAACATTTAATAATAAGCTAAATAATGAAATTTAAATACTTTTATTTTTCTCAACTAACCATAAGAGTCTATAATAGCACTATAAACTATTCCAAGATTTGCATTCTGATTGGTTTCCTTAAATTTTGGTAATACTTCTAAGAGCTTATAGCCCAACTCAATATTATTATTTGAACGAATATCTGATAATAACTGTCGATACTGAATAAACTTTTCATTTTCCAATTCTTTGGCAATTTTAAAAGCTTCATCAAATTTTTTATTCAACATAAAATGAGACCACAAACTATTTGCAAAGATTTTATAACCATGTGGTGAGACTTTAGTATGTAATCTTTCAACTAAAAAACACAATCAAATCACTTTAATTAAAAAAATAAAGTCATAGTATGATAATTATTTTAATGTATTAACATTTATCAGTAAACTATACAAATAAATTGTAATTATTAGTTTTTAATAAATTATACTAACTTATTGGTATAACAGAGGAGTCTTTATTTAAGATGCTCACTAAATTACCACCAGGAACATTCTTTATAAGTTCAGATAATTTGATTGGATCTTTTATATTTTCATCAACATCAGTTTCTAAACGAGCTATTAGATCATTAATATTACCATTTGATTGATACGCATTAAATATTTTGCTATTCAAATTCAATTTGTTGCTCATAACCTAAAAAATAAAAATCAATTTATTAGTATACATTGATTAGGTACAATAGAATCTAAATAACTCAATAAAAAAAATAAAAAAATGTACTTTAAACATAAATATACATTAATCATAATGTTTTTAACTCAATACTATATTAGTATATTAATATATATATTATATATTAGTGAAAATTATTTATTGTGATTAGTTTTAAGTACATATTAGACGAGTTAATTTTACCTTAGTAACTTTTGCATTTAGATATTCTAAACTTCCTATGTGGCCAGCTTCTGAAAGGTTTTTTACCAAAAAAGCTAATATACTTTTTGTTATTGGCCTACTATTTTCTAACATCTCTTTAGCAATTGCAAATGCTTCTTTTAATTTTTTTTCACGTGTTAACAGCTCAACAATTTTAGATTCACTTGACGAGTTAATACTATGTCCTTTAGAATATAAAGTTTTGCGCAGCACAAGAGCTTGAGTGATGTTATTATTTTTAATACATAACTCAAGTTCAGTAGATAAACTTTTGTTAATATCACTAGGAACAACTAAACCTTTTTCTTTGGGTTTCTTAACAGTGAAAGGAACTTCAAGGTTATTTTTCTTTAAAAGTTCACTTAAAGTCCACATGAAATTTTCTGATGGTTGGCAATCTTCTTCTTGCATTTGAGTCCAAAGAGTCATTGCTTCTTCGACTTTATTATTTTTACCTAAAACAAACATTAAACAAAACTTATTATTATTAACCACAATATATCATAATGAAACAACTTAACTGTATATATGTAGAAGTTCATTAAATATATTAGTTCTGTCAAATTGACCAATGTTTTTTGTAACCTCCAGCAAACGAATGAGAGATTCTTCGGCATTATCAGATCCATATTTGGCACAAGCAGAATTAATACGATCTTGTCTTGTTCGTAACCCTGGGGTCTAAATAACATAATTCAATAGTCATGTTTATTGAAGATTTTTTGTAAGCATAATGTTTTCAATTATTAAAATTTTATTTTTAACCTAAATAAAATATTTTAGGTGAATTTTTATAGATAAAATGTTATAATTTCAGAATTAAAACATTAAATTTTATATTTTTATAAACCAATGATGGTAAAATATTTAAAATGTGCATAAGAGTTTTAACAAGACCAAATGTAATTTTTTTTTATATTTTAACACTTTAAAGAGATAATTAATTACAACTATTTGGTAATGATTTTATAAAAGACTAGGTTTTATAAATAATATTTAACTTAAATTATAATCATTAATAAGAAAAATAGAAAATTAACTTTTTACCTACCTCTAAAATTTTACGAGCTTGTTTGACACGGCCACATTCAATAAACGCAAACATAAGATCATACAACGAATTTACTTCACCATGTACAGTAGTACTCAAATCAGTTAACACTTGCAAAGAAATAGCATCTTCTGCTTGAATAAATTTTGAAGCTAATTCATTTTTCCATGGAGTACATCTATATGTTTTACAACACCATTCAAATTTCTCCAAAGCTCCTTTAATATTATTGCTAAACACATACAGAATACAATTTTTTAAATATAAATCATATATAAATAAATATTATATAATGTATTACTTGACAATATGAACTTTAATTAATGGTCCTAAAAGTATATTTGATACAGTAATATAGTTATTATTGATAATTAAATCAAACATTTTTTGAAGATTTTCTACATTGCCAGTTTCAGCTATAGTATTTAATAGTTTCCAACAAACATTGGCATGTTGAAATGATGTAAACTCGGTATTATCATCAATTTTTTTAAACGAAGACAGAAAATCTATAGCATCTAAATAAAAAGAAAAAAAAATCAATGATTTTTTCATTTATTAACAAAATCAAAATGAAAAACTTTTAATATAAATCACAAACAAATAAAGACTTACCTTCAACACTGTCAGTTTTAGCTATAACCTCAGTCATTTTAATCACCTTAAATTTATCCAAAGTAAATTCAGGATTATTAGTTTTTAATTCATTAAAAATTTGTTTTGCTTCAGTCAGTTTATTGTGGTTTAAAAACACATCAAGAAGTAAAACCATTGACCCAGGTGGAATATTAAATCCTTCAGCTGATAATTTCTATATATAAAATAAATTAAAAATTAAAACAAATGACTAAAATATAATATAAATACAAATATTTTTTAATTATATATTGAATATTTACATCTTTAAATGCAGAGGCTTTTTCTAAATTGTTATTTTTACAATACAAATTTAACAATTGTCTTTTAGTTCCATTTTTAGATTCTCCAGAGACGTCTGCTTTATTAACAATTTTTTCCAATGTACTTTCATCCTACAATAATAAGTATATTTTTTTTCAATATGAAAATATTAAACCATATTTATAAAAAGAAATTTTAATTAATAAAAAAAATTATAAATTATTAATACTCACTGTATTGGATAATGTATAACCACCTGGCTTGACACTCAATTCTGCTTTAATTACTAAATTAGAATCTGTTAAATTTTCTAGTAAACTTATTATTTCAAAAGTTAATTTTCCTTGTAGATGATTTTGTACTTGTTCTGATGCATAAGCATTGATTCCTAAGCCTTTACCATACATGTTCTAGCATTATTTAAAAAAAATTAAATTGTTTATAGTTACATTTCAATACTTATTAATCAAATATTATATAAAATTTACTTCTAATAATTCATGAATAATTTCCACAACTCCTGAAGTCTGTTTTGTGTTTCGAACAATATCAATTAGAACTTGACTGATGAATTCTCGCATTTCAATTATTTGTTCTTCTGTATGAATAGAGTTTTTATCAAATTTATCTTGTTTTGACAATTCAGGGGAAGTAACAAGAGAATACCGCGAAAATCCATTGCATATTTGTTGGAGTAATACAATGAATGATGTTACATCAAAACCAGCCAAAAATGCATTAACTAATGGACGACGAATTAAAGAAGGGACATAGAATGCACGACTACAAGCAGCTATTTATAAATAAAAATAAATGTATAAAAATTAATATGATTATTATTTTATAATTATCTCTATAAAAATTACAAACCAATGTCTGCTGCTAGGCGAATCTTTTTTTCAGACAGTAAATACAAAACTACTGAATGTGTAGTAGTGCCTGTTGGTATACCTAACATTTGTAATTCATTAATAATTTTCATACCATCCATATTATTTTTAAACATTGCTGGTAAAATATAGAACCGAAGGGTATCAATATTAGGGTTTAATTCATACTCATTTATCATAATACTCAGCACATCCTTTAATCCTACAATAAAAAAAATTGATAAAAACAATTTAAATGATGCTTTTAAGATATTTCACTAAAATTAATATATAACAAAACAGTAATTACCTTGTAGATCATTTTGTTTATTTTTAGCAACAAAAATTGGCCAAAAATAATGTTGTCTAATAGGTTGGTTATTTTCTTTCATGTACTTGAACATGCCTAATGCTATATCAATTGATCCATTTTTCAATGCCATTTCAGTTGCAACTTCGAATGCTTTAGGATTTGTCCCTTCAGATACTAACTTCTTGCAGAACCCAACAACATTATCCAAAGACTAAAAAAAAAAGAACTTGAATATAAAACCACAGAATAAACAAAAAAGGACACTTTTCACATTTACACGGGTTTTTGTAGGGAACAGATTTGCTACAGCTATTAGTAAATCTATACTGATATTATAAAAATAGTTCCCATTATTTAATCTAAATTAAAAATATATATATTCAGTAGTAAAATGTATAAAATAAATCTTTGAAATTTGTCTAGTAAAAATATGTAAATTATTATAAATTAGTCAATACACTAGGTTTGCCCAACAATTTAACAAGTTTTTGATTTCTCGGATAATTCACTTATGATTATTACTTTTTCTGTAATTATAAATAAACCAAAAAATATATGAATCACTACTTATCACTATAAAGTTTAGAATCTAAATAATATTAATATGAATAAAATTAAAAGAAATTAACATATGTTCAAAATATTAAAACTGTTCTTACACTATTAACTTTTGTAAGATGTCCAATCAAGAAACGACCAATTGGTGGGGAAGTTCCATCAGCCTTTAGTGGTTTTGTCATTGTATCAAATATTTTAAATGCAATTTCTTCTTGACCCATAGTCACTAATTTATAAATACAGTTAATAGCATCTTGATTATATCCAGATGCCTTTGAAATTCTAGTCATTACCTATAGTTAATAACAAAATATTTTATACATATTTCAAGTACTTTCAAAAATTAAATAAAAATATTTAAGTACACATACTTGATCAATTTTATCACCATGACCATTAATAGCCAATGAATATACAATATCAAGATATTCTTTATCACTTAAATAGATTTCTTTATTACCACAAGTGTCTAAAACATTGACTACTTTAGCGATATCACCAATTTTTGCATACCCTGAAGCTAATAATGTATATGTATCTGATGTGGGTTCTAGATTTGATTCTTTCATAACATTTAAAACACCTTCGGCACTTTCCATATCACTAAAACAATGATTAGTTATAAATTATTATTGAGAACAATAATTGCTTATTAATGTTAATTGTAAGCAAAACATAAATATTTTAAAAAGGAAAAAAGTTTAAAAAATAAATTATCTTATAATATAGTATGCACAATAAAATACCTATTTTGTGAATGACCCATAACTAAGGCATTGAAAACTATTTTGTTTATTGGTAGCTCTTTATCACGCATATATTCTAATATACGACTAGCACCAGTAATATCACCATTTTGACAGTAGCCCGTTATTAAGTGTTGAAAAGTTACACGATTAGGTGTAATTCCTTTTTTTTCTAAATTTTCTAAAAATTCAGTTGGAGAGAATGCATAATTATTTTCCAAATATACTTTCAGCAATGTATTGTAATGGCTTATGTCCAAAGGGACACCTACAAACAAAATACAAAATTAATATAAAACTTATACTTAATTATAATGAATAAATAATTGCATACCAATTTCATTTATAGTTTGCCATATTTTTTGAACAAGAATGGTTCGATTTTCAGGTGTTTCATCAGGCACCAAACTACCACAACATCGAAGTACCATTAATGACTGTGATGGAGTAGCAGTTTCTATGAAAAAAATATATATATAAGTGAAAGAGTTCTTAAGGTCAAGAATCCTAAAAAAACCCACTAGAAATCATAATTTCATTTAAAATCTCTTCAATTTCTTTTTTCGATATACGACCCACTCGTCTTAAATTAAAATCAAGATTTTTTATATAATCATCGATTTTGTTAGCCGAGGAGCTTTGATGAATAGCTGATGAAAAAAATGACCTAAGTACACAAAATAAAATAACATATTAAAGAACATCATTTCTAGAGTAGAAGTGGTGAAAACTTACCGATTTGGAAGTATATTGGTATTACAATATGAAATACTTGCATGATTAGTTTCTGGAAATTTCTTACGAGAAATATGAGAATTCGTATTTGATATTAGTGTGTTACTAATCCTATGACGGCTTAGACTGTATGCAGTGCGTATGTGCTTTGAGCACTGTATTAAGACAGACATGTTCAAGTTTAATATAAGCTTTCAAATTAACAGATAAAACAACTTTCAAATACAATTAGTCAATTAGACAACTAGAAAAAAACACAGTCGGCAAAAATTTTCACAAATCGCTACCGCTACGATAAGTATTTAGTATGATCTTTAAAATAACCTTAAAAAGGAATACAGTATTGTGCACTGTGCCCACTATCACAGTTATGGATAGATAATATTATGATAAAATAAAAGTATAATACTATTGGTACTATCTACAACCGCGGTCAAGAACAGAATAAATAAATTTCAGTCATGCTGTAGACGTCCTGTGATACGACATTCTTGGTCACAACTCAAAAGTCTCAAAATAGTCAAAATCTAATTATCTATCCTCAGTGTTAAGTTAAGGTTAGGTGTTTAGACTATGGCGTTCAAACTTCTCGTTAAAAATTAAAAATTAAATTTTTATATAATTATCAAAAAAATATTCAGCCTCGGAATAATGTTTACAATGTTATTACTTAAAAAATGCTTCAATTCTCAATTTTGAGGATATTTTCTGATAGAGAATTGCACTTAAATTGTACTTAAAGGTCAAAGTTAAAAATTTCTAATCGTTTTTAAAATAACCTGAAAAAAAACAAAACAAAAAAAAAATTGGAAAAATTAAAATTTTTTTATGTAAAACTAGTGATCAACAAAAAATTGATTTTTTTCTTTTGGTTCAATTCAAAAAATGAAAAACGTAAATACCTAATCTTAATACTTGAATTTTCACCAAATTTTTATTTTTAACATTTTTTACACACAGTATAATTTTAAAATATTTTAACTTTTGTTGAACTATTTATAAACATTTGAAATTGTAATTTTAATGTTTATAAAAATCAATATAAATTTTCTCAAAAGCTTATTATCAAAAAAATATAGAAAACTTAAATTGTTAGACGTTTGTTTCAACTCGTCATTACACTAGTTTTATAATTGGTATCTGACATAAATAACATTCTGTTGATTCTTACAGGGACTTGGAAAGATTAAAAAAAGAATAGTGTAAATTGGACTTGTCATTTTCACCTTTAATACCAAAATACTTTGAAATAAATATGGAAAAATAAGATAGTTAAAACATGTTAAATAGTAATTATTAAAAATTATAATTTTAAATAATATGTATAAAATGAATATTATTCACAAAATTTAATTTTTAATAAAACTAAAACGAAAAAAAAAATTAAATAACTTATCATATAATTTGTAATATACTAAAATTAAAGAAATCATATAAATTAAAAATAAATATTAAGTATAAACTTAGAATACAAATTTGAATGTAAAATAGGATTTATAATAGGTATTAATACATTTATAATATACTCATGTTTGGACCTTTTCTTCTATTATTGAGATGAGCCTGAAACAAAACATATTCACTATTAGAAGTATTAGTAAATAAATAGATTTAACTATAGGTTTAAAATAAATGTTATTTAAATCAAAGATTCCTAACATCGATAATACTCTCTTGTAAACATTTTAAATTTTTAGAGGTTTGTTTTACTTGAGTGGTCATTAAAGGAAACGATTCTTCTGTTACTTATATTTTTATAATTCTTGACATAATAAAACATAGTGAAATGTATAACTATGTAAAATAAAATAACAAATTTAATTTTAAAATATCAATTAATGTTTTATAATGTAAATAAGGTTAATATAAAAATTTACTAGTTCAATAATTAAAATTTAAAACTATATAATTTATTATTTAATTTTAATTTTTTATGAATTTACTTATTTAAATTTTAAGCTTATTATATTAAACATGACCAGGGGCATATCTTTAATGAAAATATTGATGTTGCTGGAGTTCTCAATTAGCCTCATGGCAATATTATATTTAACAGCGAGCAACTTTCCCATCTAACCAATCTAATAATCATATATAAAATAATTAATATAATAATAGTTTTATATATTTATTCATTAATGAAAAATTATAATTAGTCATAATAACATAATTATAGGATGCTAATTTTACAAACTTTGAGTGTTAAACACATACCCTCCATTTATCATTATTTTGTATGTACCATTACAGCCAGTTTTAAAAATGTAAGATTGAAATCCCACATTAAAATATAAGCCCAAACAAAAGTTTAAAAATATTTACTATAAGAAAATAAATTTTAAAAGCATGTATTCATAAGTCATAATAAATATTATACTGCTACATCTAAGATTTTGAGTGTAATAACTAAAGCTCAGCCCTCAGGTACTTACGAAATAGCTTGTTTTTTTCCATTCATTTAATTTAATGCTAACCTAGATATAGATTTGATTCATAATAAACTAAGTAATGATATAATTTATATTTTCCATATATTTGGATTTTTAAAATATAAACGCACAGTAAGTATATTTTAATATTGTTTAACTTTAAAATAAAATCCAAATGATATACATAATATTTATATTAATAAAATAAAATGCTAATGTAATTATTATGTTAATTTAAAATTAATATTTTGTATAAATATGTGTCAGATATATTATATATATTTCAATATACAATTTTATTATTTTAGTATCTATATAAGTCACTTATGTAGATACTATTATTAAGTGCAATGTATTTTGTCATTTTTAAGGTATATATGCAATATGCATAAGTCAAATTCAAATATTTTAAGTACATAAACACCCAAACTCTAATAATAATTATAATAACCTTTGAATATTCAACTGTAAAATTAGTTATAATTACCTTAATAATAGTTGCAAATTGAGGTCGTCTGAGTAAGTTATAAGCAGTTACCAAGAGTTGTTTACAAATACGATGAAGATCAGGATTTCCATCACAAAAAAAATCAATGCCTAATTCAAACCCCGTACCAAAGTCACACTCATCACTTGCTATATTGGCATAATTTATAATTGGTTGTAATTTATCCATTACTTCCATTTTTTTACTTTCACTTGCTTCATGATAAGATTTTAGAATTTTTTGTAGATTATCTAAATAAATAGTATCGTAAATTAATCAAAATGCAAAGTAAACAAAATTTTATAATTTTTAGCAACATACATTCAGATTCTGATAAGGGCCTATAACCTATATCAGTTTTACAATCATATGGAACTACGATTCCAGCTTTATGAAATGTTTTTGTTACTGGATCACATTTTCGACCTTCTAATATTTCAGTAACTTTTCGTTTTTCATAAGCAAGTAATTTTTTTTTAAGTGAATTTGCTACTTTACTATCCATTCTTTGAAGATGCTTACTGAAAAAAAAAAAATGAAAAAATTGTTATAGAACAAATATATATTGCATTTAATTGAAATTTACCTCAAAGCCTGAAATAAACTCTTCCCTAATTTTTGAATAACACAATTTTTACTTGAATCATTAGAAACCACATAAACAGGTGATGCTGATGGTTCATCCCTATAATAACCAATATGAAATTCTGAACCAGTACTAACTAAAATCGTCTAAAAAAACAATAAAGCAAGATTTAAATAATTAAGGAAATAAAAGACTATACTATACTCTAAGAGTATATTTTAAATGATAAAAAAAATGTTCTTAAATCAAGTAACGTTTTAGTAAAAACACACATACTTGAAATTCTGGAGGATCATAATAATAACGCCAATGTAAAACTGTCTTTTCAACATCATTAGCATTAAACCCATTCATTTTTCCTGCTAATACATCATAAGGTCCAACCAATTTCAATCCAACCGATAACAATGCATCTAAATTTATATAACATTGTAACCATTTTAATTTGTTAAATTTAATTAGATAAATAAAGTTAAAGTAAATAATAATATAAAACCTTCTGGATGAGTAGAACATAGTCTTTTACAAAAAGACCAAAGATCATAGAACTCTTTTGGCATTTCTTCTACAAGAAATAATTCGGAAATTTTTGTTTTCAAATAGTCAGAATCAGTTACATTTTGTACAGGCGGGTCTGGCTGTTCTCTATCATTTAAGTCTAGATATGTACAAAATAATATTTCAATTGATTTAATAAAAATCATTTATTCATCTAATACAAAAACTGAATTTTATGTTTAATTGTATTATTGTATGATTATATTTGATAAATTACCTGAAATTTGAGATGGCTGAGATTCACCGACAAATGTAAATCTTTGTACTTGATTGCTAGATGGTACATGAGGTGAACTAACAGTTTCTCCATCTAAACGTCGAGGTGTGAATAATGTTGGTGTAGACGGAACAATACCATCGTCAACACTGCAATCTTCTAATGTACTATTGGTCTAAAAATATTCAACAACCATATTTCATAAATTAATTTAAAGAATAATTTAAAAAAAAAAATTATTAATACTATAAAATATATATATATATATATTAATATTAAATTAATCTGAGTATTTTTTTTTATTTACTAATAACAATTGTTGCTGTTGAGAATGTTGTCTCATTAATGGCACCGCATATTCAGTTGAGTTTTGTTGGTTATTTGTAGAAGTAATACTATTAGGTTCACTGTTGGAAGTGCTTATTGTTTGTTCAGGACGTTCGGGTACTTCCATGTCATTTACTTCTATAAAAAATAAAAAATATAAAAATACTTTTTGAAAATAAAATTAATTTGATATTTTAAAATAAATTTGAATAAAAGAAAGTGAACTTTTAAGAAATTGATAAAAACTGTGTTACCAATAGAAAATTTTAAATTTTACTACTGGATTTTTATTTTTTCATAAACATTAAAAACTTGGTAAACTAATTAACACAGGATTAAATATTATATATCATAATACATATAATATATATTTCTAAACTTAAAAATCTAAATATAACAATATTTTTGGAATCATATATTACTTTAAAAGAAAGGTATAAGCAGTTATTATTATTTTTAAAGTATGATGTACAATTTAAAGAACACACATAGTACATACCATCACTGTTGTGACTCTCTTCATTTGGATTATTCCTATTATCGCTATTTGATGATTCACCATTAGTTTTGTTAGGTGATTTTACTCTTCCTTTTGAGTCTCTTTTTCTAGTTATTTTTTTATTGTCCACTTCAATATCATTCTACAAACATAGAACTCAATAAATAAATACTTAATGAAAAATAAATAAATTTATATGATATCTTACTTTAGTAGGTGGATGTTTATATTTATCTGTATGCTCTTTATTTTTTTGGAAACATTTTCTCCCATATTTACATGGTACTCTATTATCCTTTTGGTAAGCAAAAAACTTTTCCATTTTGTCTATAACATTGAAGACTGAATTAAACAAAAGTTGAATGAGCATTAAATAAAAATTTTACCCTATATCAAATAGTACAATCCTAAGCAATGATACATAGACTTTAATGTAGGTACACGAGTAATTCAACTAATTTCCAATTGGTATTTGTTGTTAAGTTGTAAACAAAAACTATTTTGTAATAGCTTATCAAGACGTACTTACCATAACATTATCTTATTATCTACTTTTCTTATCATTTTTATCCATTTTCAACTTTGTCTTTGATTACGGATAACAGATATGTACACATAACATAACATGACTACATTTTATTTCTCATGACGGACACTTGTAAATAATAAATATATATTATTAAGAAAACCATAATAATTTTTGACTTCAATTGGGTACTTATATTTATTTTATTTTTACTTATCCAAGGACTATGGCTTATAGGGGTTTACCGTTTAGTGTTTACACTATAAAATATATATATAAATCAATGTACAGTATACGTAAACGTTTACTTACTAACATAAGGTTTTTAGTTGTGATGAATAAATACGTTCATTTTTGATATTGGAATAAAATGCCACAGACCGCCATTTTTTAGTTCTTTGGGGATAACGGGATATGAAATTCAAAAGCAGGACGTATAGTCACGTTGTGCATCTTTGTCTCAGACTAAAGGTTCTAAGGCTTAAGGGTCAATCAGTTTAAACTTTTTAGGATAACACTTAATATCTTAATTTTAACGGACATGCTTTAAACAATGAAAGCTAATAACTAGTTTTTAATCAAAATTAATAACTACTTCTTAGATTTTGATCTGTTTTCCTCGAAAAGTACTGAAATTGTACTACATAAAAGTTGAAAATCTAAATATTTTTATTGCTCCAAAAGATGATGACCAGGACCCGAAACTTGATGATCTAAAAAATAAAAATATATAAAAACTATAGAAGATAAGTAATAAATCGCTTCCTTAAGACACTCCAGCATTGATTTTGTAGTATGAAATTATCAGGTTACAAATCAGATATGTTATATAAATATCCTTTCAACAGATGAATAAATTAATAAAATAAAACACAATTTATAAAACTAGTTTTTTTTTTTCTAGATTTTAACTGACTACTCAAATGAATATGAGACGTATTATACCATACATACATTTTTAAAAAATCATTAATAATTAATATTATTTGTGACTTTAAATGTGATAATACCAATACATATATTATATATATATGTAGAATATATAAACACACAGAATATACAACAAAAATGAAACAATGAATTGAAAGGAAATATATCTTAGCTAAAAATAAATAAAAAAAGTAAATGAAAAATATACTAGTAATATTACTTATGCAATCAAAATTGTGGTAAATAAAATTTTAAATAACACAGTGTTTAGAAAAACTCATTATAATGTTCAATATTTTACATTGATTTAATGATAAATTTATAATTTTAATCATAATCCAAAACAATTAGTCCATTCTAACTAAACAGTTGTTCTGTAGCTCGTTCCAAATCCCAATTGTAAGTAGACAATGCTCCACGTGCTTGATCACGTTCTATTCCCATATCTATAAGACGCTGAATTTTTGTGTCAAAATCTGTATTTATATTTGGACCTGAAACACCAATTGCAGTTAAAAATATACATATTATTAAAACAAATAAAAATACATGATACTTAGTATACATTAATATATTCTTAAGGTTACTGAAATATACTTCTACAAAATAAAATTTTAATTAATTTTATTAAATCATTATCACTAAAATATGTGCTATTTACGTAAACTATAAATTATGTACCTCCCGCATAAACATTAGTCCAGTGGCTAGCTGTTTTAGCAAATATTTCTGGATACTCTTTATATTGTTTAGCAACAACAGCATCTTGTGGGTCATCTGGTTCAGCAGCAGCCATAAGTGCTTGTAAAGACAACAGTACAGTACGCAAAGTCATGGCTGCAGCCCTATTAAATTACATTAAAATTAATAACTTATTGCACTAGTTTACAGAAGTAAACAAAATTTCTATACATGACTGATAAATAAAATTCAATTTTAAAATTTTAAAAACAAGTAAATCTAATTTAAAGTTATTAATTTAACTAATATGGTTATAGTAAGCATATGCAAATTAAATTACTTAAATAAGTTCTAAAATATCTACACTTACCATTGATCTTTTAAAATGTCTAAACAGATAGCTCCAGTGACAGATGAAATATTTGGATGCCATATTTTAGTCATGAATCGAACCTATAATTATTTATTTTTATTTTAATAACTATATGATAAATTAATACAAGTCTACTTACTTTAGGTGGATTAAAAGGATATGTTTCTGGCACCTTAATTTCTAAAAAGAATGTACCACCTTCATATGGTGTATCAGGTGGGCCAGCAATTTCACCTTTTAATTCTGTATAGCTATCACCAATTAAGTCAACTTTGATTGAACATTTAGCAAGCTAAATAAAAAAATTTAATACATTCATATTTATAATAAATCTTAGAAAAATCGATTCAAATCAAATATATAAATATATTCTTAAATATTATGAACAATTAGGTTTTCTAATACAATTCAGATTATACTAGATAACATGTTTTTTTTTTTTAATTAGATAAATAAATAACAAAACAAATATATCACGAAAAAATTAAATAATAATTAAATAAAACACAAATTAAATATAATGATGATAAATGCAAAATAATGATTAATAAAATAATTTATACTTCAAAATAAATTCATTGTTACGAAAGAATAATTTCACAACATCGTTATACACAATAAAACCAAACATGTTGGATCTAAATATAACTGTTTTCTAAAATAATAAAACAATGCTTGAAAAAACTTATGATACATTTGTCAAAAATAATTGTAAATTATGAAATTACCTCTTCGCTCTTAATGACTTCTTTAAATTCCCTTTTGATTCTCTGCGTCGCAATATTATTCATAATTTTGATATTTATTTTTACTTTAAAAAATAAAGAATAATTATGTTAGTAAGTACGGAAAAACCTATATTACAACGGCACAATTATCACGGACTCCCGCTAACCTAAATTATATTGCGTTTTACGGACAAAAATACAAAATACAGTAATTTTTTATTAGACTTAACGTTTTGTGATAAATTTATGTTTATAAGTTGCCATACAGCAGTGTGCTAATAACGTTTGACTAGACTAAAAAAAGTTCGATAAGTCCATAGAGAAAAACATTACAAATCCACCAGCGAAAAGTTAAAATGTATACACGACTGATAACATATACACAAAGCTCAACATGGCACGTAGTTTGATAAAAATATAAAAATCGGTACCGTAAACCATATTATCATTCCATGTCCGTATATAATACCACAATTGAACACATAATATTATTTTATTTATATATAAAATATAATATTTAGTTACAATTCTATTTCTTTATTTTTTACAACTAATTCATCGTTCCGTAAATATTATATTTATTAATTGATTTAATCGTGTTAAATACTTGAGTGGCATAGGTTATTGACATAAAATATAGTATATTAATATATTAATATATTGCATTATATAATCATAGGCCTTATACTATATAAGTATATAGTATATTATATTATAGACGGTACAGTGTACAGTCGATACTCGATACATGTTAGTAGTTCGCGCGTCCACGCGTGAGGTCGCTGTGAAGGTAGTACACTGCACATGCGCACAAGAACTATGGGGTTGTATTATTAGCTTAGAATTTAAATACACGACCTAAGATTATTGCTCTATGGTACAAGTGTACAACCACAGATTAATCTGTGGTACAACCATTGTAACCGATCACCTTATCAATATTCAATAGACACCCACACACACCGCGTACTATCACGGCTAGGAAAGATCGCACCACCCACCCGCATCCACCCTGAATGACATCGTCTATTGCAGTGGTTCTCAATCTTTTTAGGACCGCGACCCAAAATTTTTTCCAAAAATCTATCGCGACCACCATAGTTTTACATTTACAGAATCAAAAAAGTAATTTCAAAAAACAAATTGTTTTATTACTTATTTACTACTCGTACTTTATAATAATAATGATTGTAATAATTCTTATGTTACTTTATACTTCTATTATAGTTCTATAGTCTATACTCTATAGTTCTATACAATTTATAAAAACATACATTTCTTACAATCTGTATAATTAAAAAAACTTCTTGCGACCCCCAGGGGGTCGCGACCCACAGCTTAAGAAACACTGGTTTATTGGTATAAGCACAGAACATAACAATTGTATAAATATGAACAAAGTTTAAAATCTCTGATATGAGGTCTACGAATTAAACATAATATTATTATTTTGTGTTTAATTCCTATAAAAATGGGTATTGATAATATAAGATATTGTTACAGTGAATAGTGATGATACCAACGGAATTAGTCAAACAACTCCATACAATTGTTGTTCCATTTGTTTTTAGAAAAGTGCTACAAATATTGAATTGATTATTAATTAAACATTTTGACTAATTTAAAGAATTAAATTATCATCCGGAACGTTAATAATTAAATTGTATTCATAAGTGTTTGAGTAATTAAATGAAGTAGAAATTAAGAGGACGTCGTACCCGCATATGTTATCTCCGTCTTACAAATGCGTAACATGGCAAATAGTACTCTTAGAAGATCACGTTTAGCTCCTTCAGCTTGAAAATTAGAATGAATTGACCTCTTTTGAAATTTAAAAGTGAGATTATTATCTAGGGCATCTCATAGGCTTTTTATTATATTTTAATTTTAAAGCAAGTTATGAGTATTTTAAAATTGTAAATTGCTTGCACGTCTTAAAACACACATAACTCGCTTTAAAATTAAAATATAATAAAAAGCCTATGAGATGCCCTAGATAATAATCTCACTTTTAAATTTCAAAAGAGGCCAATTCATTCTAATTTTCAAGCTGAAGGAGCTAAACGTGATCTTCTGAGAGTACTATTTGCCATGTTACGCATTTGTAAGACGGAGACAACATATGCGGGTACGACGTCCTCTTAAGCTGGTGAAGTTGTTCTACTTGAAACATTTAGTACATTTTGTTCCACGAAATAGTCGTTTCAAAGTAAATTTGTTTAAATAAATTGATTATTAATTATAAAAAATTATAATTAAATTTTGTTAACATTGTCTACATATTACCCCTTAGTTATTCGTGCTGACACATGGAATTTCATCATTTTCATATAATTCATTGTTTTTTTTTTTTTTGATTTCTCAATTAAAGGCCACATCGACCACGCGAGGCATAAACTGTCTCCCGTAACAAATAGGTGACATACTGACATAACCAGTAAAACTATGTTAATCGTTAGGCGGCTACCTACTTATAACTTAAATTACGATATATAATGTTAGTGTTGACATTTTGAATTTAAACTATCAACAAAGCTGATGAATCTACTTTGCTTTAAAGTTGGCATCGGCGTACCTTGTCATCGAGTAGATATCACGGTGATCCATAATGAATATTTTAAATTTTAATTCAATAATAAATCGTCGCATTCATTAATAATAATTCTAAATGGAAAAAAAAAAACAGTATAGTTACCTACAAACTACATTAATAAGTGCCTGTACAATAATAAATAATAGCTAAGTCCTAAATACTAAAGAATAATACACGTAAATATCACACGATTCACACGTTAAGTTTATAATCCACGTCCCTCGTTTAATGATATCAACGATTGATGAGATGAATCATAAATGTATATTCTATACTTACATATTATAATGTACCTATTAATCACGGAATAAAATTGATTATTATTTATTACCTACGCCCTGTATGCTACAAACCTAATTTATTCTATGATCGTCTATTCAAAAAAATAAACTAGTTAAGTACTACAAACAACTTACTACTTGTTAGTTGAATGAAGCACTAACATAATATGAACTCGGGCAATGGACTTAATAAGAAAAACAATTTTCTTTAAATCGTATAATAAGCAATACTTCCAAATAGGCGCAGTTCCAGTCGTTCCAGAGGTGGATAAAGGACTTATAAGACACTCGCTCCAACCACCAATTATAAATGTTATATATTATGTATTTATTTGATAATTTAATATAAATTAAATAGTTCATACGTTGTAAAATCCAAAAAATTTCCAAAAAGTCTCTGCAAAGGTATTTCAGACTGAAATTTTCAGTAGTTATTTGCCGTTTTTCAGGTTTGTCTAAAATAATAATCAAATACCTAAATCATAAAATAATACTTAATGGTATAATCGAATAGTGGTACAACAAATATTGTGCATAGTGTCATACTGTTAATCATTTTATACGGAGTGCTACACTGTTGAGCTGTCTATGAGTCGCCGCCCGTCAGCCCGTTTTTGGAATTTTAAGACTTACCGACTTGGTCTGAGTTGGTCACTACTTGGACACTTGGTGACTCGTTAGTGGTGACTTGGTATTTAATTAGTAGAAGTTAGGAGTTTAGGGTTTAAGGGTCGGCAAGTTAGATAAGATCGTCATCGTGTTAACTGTTTGTTATTTAGTATTATTCAAAAAAAAATATTTAATTTATTAAACATATCTAAGCAATTAGTTTTAATTAATTCAACTTAGTAAAATGGAATATAACTTAGGAGATAATCCAGTTACTTCACATTCATGGAATGCAAATAGAACTCGTAAGTTTGAATTAATCAACCAAATTATAGTCTGAAATATTTTTGAAAACGTTATTGAATTTTTGATTGAATATTTATATGATATAGAGATAGCAGTAATTCCAAATAGTAATGAAGTGCAAATATACAAATATGAACCAAATTTGAGTGACTGGACATTGTTAGACAATCTAGATCAGCATGGACTTCTAGTTACTGGAATTGATTGGGCACCTAACACTAATCGAATTGTTACTTGCTCAGCTGTAAGTTTTCTATTAAATAAACCTTTATATTATTTATTTACGATTATATTGCTATTTTCACTTAATAGGATCGTAATGCATATGTATGGACAATTGATGACAAGGGCAAATGGAAACCAACACTTGTGTTATTAAGAATTAGTAGAGCTGCGACTTGTGTTAAATGGTCACCAAATGAGAATTCTATAATAATATTAAATCTATACGTGAAATATCAGTATTAATAATTTATTCTTAATTTTTATCTTAGTTTAGAATAGTTTATCTTACTTTTAGAATAATTTTACAAAATAAATTTATTTTACTACATACTTTTAAAAATTATTAATTCTAAATTTTATTTTTGAAAATGATATTAAAATAATTGAACATTACAAATTTGTTACTTCTTTTTTTTATTCGGGATTTTTAAATATATATTCTTATATATTATAAATATTACATTAACCAATGTTTTTTAAATGTATTTCTAGAGAAAAAATTCGCAGTTGGTTCAGGAGCTCAATTAATATCTGTGTGCTATTTTGAAGTTGAAAATGATTGGTGGGTGTCAAAACATATAAAAAAACCAATTCGATCTACAGTAACAGCATTAGATTGGCATCCAAACAACATGGTATTAGCTACTGGTACTGCCGATTTTAGAGTAAGACTGTTTAATGTTCATATGAAAGAAGTTGATCAATGTCAAAAAGTAAAAACTGAATGGGATACTGATGATACTTCTGTACCCAATTTAGTTGCAGAATTTACCAATTCTTCTAGAGGAGGTAAATTTATTCATTTCACTCAAATATAGTTACCTATTTACTATAAATATTTTTTTGAATATAATATTTTTAAGATATTTTAGAAATTATACAAAATAATTGTATTGAAAAATTATTCTAAAACAATTGGCTTAAATATATTTACTTCATATTATTTCTTCCAAGTTATACTTAATATGTTAATTCTTATAACTCATCAATACTATAATAATTGCTGTTTTTCTTTTTACATAATTAATTATATTTTTAGGTGGATGGATTCATGGACTAGCGTTCAATAAGACTGGTAACCGATTATGTTGGGTTGCTCATGATTCATCTATTACTGTCGCCGATGTATCTAAAGGAAGCATAATTGTTAATAAATTAAAAACAAATGAGTTACCTTTCATAAGCTGTATTTGGGTTTCTGATCGAGCATTAGTTGCTGCAGTGAGTTCATAATTATTATAATTAATGTACTCTTTTGTGATAAATTAAAAAATTAAAAATAATAATAATCAAATTAATTTAATTTGGATTATTTTGATCAATATTTAAAATTTTAGGTATTAAGTTCCTATGGTTGTAACTTTAAAAATTATAGTGTAAATTAATATGTTATTTTCAATAGGGTCATGGATGTTGTCCAATGTTGTATTGCATTGACTCCAATAACAAAGTGCAATTTGTTTCTAAAATTGACAGTTCTCAGAAAAAAGAAGCTGCGGGCTTAAGGTAACTATAAACAAGAAATTTAAAGAATACATATTAAATTTTTTTTAGGTTTATAATATAAAAAATAATATTCTTAAAATGTGTTTTCTAGTGCAATGAAAAAATTTCAAAGTTTAGATCGACAAGCACGCATCAACAGTGATTATGAACTTGATACTAAACATCAAAATACATTAACATGTTTACGTGTTCATACTGAATCAAATAATGTTGTTACAAAATTCACTAGTAGTGGTTTGGATGGCAAGATAATATTATGGGAACTCAATGTAAGTAACACATATTATTTTTGCCTCTGAAATATAAATCATTTCATTTTATTTGTATTAATATACATATTTATTTATATACATATATCTTTGTTATAATTTAAAACATAATAACATGTTTTCTTTTTTCATTTTAGAGTTTAGATAAATTACTCCAAGGTCTAAAAATTTAACCTCAATGGAACTACAATTATATGTACATAATGCTATTTGATTTCAATAATTACTTATACTGTTACTAATTATTTGTTATTTTATTAAATTATACTTTTTTACATTATTTATTATAATTTTATTATTAAAAATATTTTGATAAATACATAGTAACAAATATATTTTAAAATATTTATTCTACCTATGTATGCTTGTTTATATGTGGCTTATATAAATAAGAACAAAATAAATAAACATAACAATAGAATTTATTGCATTTATATTTTTCTGTCTAAGTCATACTAGTATTTATTATTTATTGCATTACATTAGAGAATTGTATAACACTTGTCAGATGAATTGCATGTTTATTTTAAAAAAATATATGTTTAATAATTGTTTTTTGCAACTAGAAGTAATAAGTATAAAAAATTTTAAAAAAATCTATGTGTTTGCTTTTAATATTGATGCACTCATTTTTGTATAAGAATATAATATTGCCTAATTATTTTAAATTATAAATCTTAATGTTATGTATCATTAAAAAATAATATGTTAACAAAAGTTTAAAATATATAAATATGGCCTCATAAGACTCAAAAATATTCAACATTAGTAATAGATCACACTCTCCAGTCTAATCATAACTAAAGTTGAGTTGTATTTTAAATTTATAGTAATGATTATTGATATTCTAGTTAAATCTAATAAATAATAACAGGTAAACCATAGGCTGATGGTGCAAATTGCAGGCAGTGCCTACAGTATTTTTACCCTTCTCTTAACAAGACAGTTAATATATATATAAATAATAATTTATCATATTAGCATCGTTTATAATTTTGTGGTGTTAAAAAATTGGGGCTTAAAAAAATTCTTAAAAATGAAAATATCAATATACGACTTATGCGGACTTATAGAAGATGCTAACAAAATCTAATAGTTTATTCTTGACATTGATCAAATTATAGTTCAATTAATTAACAATTTGAATCAATGTAATTTATCTTCATTTGGAGATACAATAAATAATAATTTTGTATTATAATATAAAAATGCTTATTAATTAAATTATAGAAATCTTTTTCTTATCGTTTCTTGTTCTGTAAATAGTAAAATAAATAATTCCAAATGATTTTATCCTTTAAGACAGGTCAGAAATTAGTTAGAAAAAATATTATGGATCAAAAAAATTTTTTAACAAGTTTCATTTATTTTCCCATTGTATGTCTCTGCTTAAGGTCATAAAACATAAAAATTCTCACAGTAAAATCAATGGTTATTAATTTTTTACATAACTACGTAAAATGTTAACAGATATTACATTATACAATAACAAATGACTAAGCACTAGTACAAAACACACTCTAGTTTAAGTCTAAGCAATTAACTAATTTTTTCTGAGTACATCGTAAACCATCAGTGTGCATAATATGGGTCATGGTTGTGAACGGGTATTAGAATACACGGGTATATTGAGCCCGGGTCCACAGGTGAAAAATATGTTAAAGCCCGTGTATTTTAATACCCGTGCATAATCAAGTATATCGTATACTTATTCAGAATTCAAATATACAATAAACATAAATATTTATAAGAATATAATGTTATTTGTGTTACAATAATTATTCATTGTTTATTAAATAATCATAAAAATTGTATAGCTGTTAACCTACCAATTTTTTTATTTTTTAAAGATGTGATAAACAGTTATTAGTTATACTTAAAAATTAGTAAGTTGCATTCGTTTTTTCATATAATATTATATAAAACGGGTATTTTTATTACACGGGCTTTAACCTCTTCATAGATAAAACACAGGTACCTATATAATTTACTACACGTATAATCACAACACATAGTTCATAAATACTGATTATATTATAGTTAAAGTAAGGCATTATACGAATATATTTTTATAACTATTCAAATAATTTAAAAAAAATAATTGTTTCCAAATATTTTTTGTATCATTTTTTTATGTGAATAACCAGCTTAAAAAAATCTGAATAATGTTTTAATCAAATAACTATACAGAATAATAATTTCCCAAACTTTAGCAATAGTATAAATTAAAATAAAATAGAAGTAAAACATTATTTTATATTAACAACTTTATTCAAACATAAATAAGTAGGTAGTATCATTGAGTATAATAAAAAAAGTTAATTCATAATATACTCAATGGTAGTAGTTATAACACAAAAATAATAATAATAATAATGATAATTAAATAATATCTAATTAAATTATAAGATTTAATATAAATTAGTTTTTAAAGACATTCAACTGAATATTATGCATACCCAATATTATGTTTAAAAATGATACTATATATTAAAACATACAATAATTAAAATTAATTACAATTAAAGAATAATATATGCATTAACATATTTATTTTTTTAATTTAATTGTTTTTAGAAATAAATCAGATGTACAAATAAAAATGGTACAGTTTAGGGAAACAAATAATTAAGTAGCACAAGGATGGATTTAATAATAGATTTTGGTATCAGAATTTTATAACTAAAAAATATAGTTGACAAAACTAGATTAGATTTATAGAAATCAATAACAAGTTATCAAGTTTTAAAAAATAAATTATTAACAGAAATAATTATAAACTAGCATAACTAATTTATAGTTTGTAGAAATTGCTAATTATGCTTAAACAAGTTTATGTAAAATTAAATCTAACATGGAAACGTTTATAAGTACAAGGATACATTTTCACATCAAGATTAATATTTGGTTTAGTTATCTTTAAAACTAAAATTATAGTATTTAAAAAAAAAAACCGGGAACTTTTTTAAATTTTGAACAGTCTTGGTAAATGGTAAAATATGTTAATGAAAAACATAAAAATAATTTAAATTTAAAATACAATATTCATTTTCTTTAAATGTTAATAGCAACAAATTAAAAATTAATAGCAATTGTTTTGTTTAAATTATGTAGGAACGATACTAACTAGTAAATGAAAATATTATATACTTATAGTAAACTGCAATACACAATTATCACTGACTAAAAGAAAATAAGGAAAGTTATACAAATACTGTAAGTTTATCATACATTTTAGATAGACTACTTACATTTTCTATCAATTATTAAGTTGAAAAGTAATCGGTATTTTATTTCTACTTAAATTATTTATTTATTGCTATACTTTTCTTTTATTGAATATTATTCCCATTGTTCTAAAAACTTTAAATGAAAACTTTTAAAACTGTCCAACATTGCTTTCAATTTATCTGGCTGAGGTAAGATAGTAGTTCTGAAAAAAAAATATGTATAATATTAATATATTTAGAGGTTTTAAAAAATTTAGAAGTTCTTAGTAAATTTTAAAATTAATATTACTAATCATTTAATCATTACTCATTATAGTTAAAATATGTATTTAAACCAATTGTTATGTTATATTTAAAAGCTTTGCTTGTGTTAGACTTTTTTTGTAATTGTGAAGTAATAAAATGATCTCATTAATCAATTATTAACTACTGTGAGACCTACAAATTTCATGTTTTTTATATTAGACATTTAATGAAGACAGTAATATTAATTAAGTAAAATATATGATTTTCAATAGATTCTTGTTTGATAAAATAAAAATACCAACTACTTTTTAGTTTTATTTAAAATATATATATTAAGCATTAAACATATTGTCTTTAAACTGTGGTCCATAATATATTAATTATATTTTAAATTATTTTATTTTTATTAATCTAAACAAAAACAAGCAACTATATTTACCTAAAATGATAAGTTCCTTCAACTTGTCCAAATCCAGATCCGGGTACAATACAAATACCAGTATTTTCCAAAAGTTGAAACGCATAGAATGCATTAGGTTCAATTCCTTGATTTTTTGCTTCTTTAATTGCTCTTTCTGGTAACTTAAACTATAAATGAAAATAATATTTGTATTTAAAGTTAAAATACATACTTAAACTCATTAAATAAACATTAAAAATTAAGTAAACATACTTGTGGAAAAGCATACATTGCACCTTGAACTGGATTGCAAGACATCCCAGGAATACTGTTAAATGTATCGGCCACCAATTTAGCTCTTTCTGCTAATGATTTTAGTACACTATTTTTTTCTTTTTGAAAACTCTCATATGATGGTTCACCTGGTTGTGGAGGATTTACAACACAGTCCATCACAGTCTAATTAAACAATAGAAAATAAAATAAAATAATAATCTTCCTAAATATCTTTCAATAATCTATTACTTGGCCAAGAACTGTAGGACATAACATAGCAGACACAGATTTCAGTAACATTGCTTTAACTTCAGGATCCAAATTAATCACTTCTGTATAACCACCTCTTAAACCACATTCTCCCATATAACCTAAAATAATTTGTTTATTTTACAATATTACTAATTTTCATTTCTATAGTCTTCAATTACCTTTAGAACAAGACATAAATGATGCCAATTCCATTTCACTGTAAGGAGATCCTAATTCAGTCAATACTTTTTTGAATGAATGAAATTTACTTCCTTCAGCATACACATTATCTTGATATACCTAGATATTAAAAAAAAGAACATTAAACAAATTAAAATAATAGTAATTAAATGTAAATATAACATATATATATTACCTCATCAGCAAGCAAGAACAATTTTTCTTTGTATGCAAATTTAATAACATCCACCACATTTTCTCTGGTCAATACTTGACCTAAACAATTTAAGTGTATTATGAAATTTATGATTACAATGTTTTGAATATAAAATATTGCTAAACAAATTAAACAGTGTTAGCATAAAATTATTTTTATTTCAAGTCTAAAGGATTTAGAATAATTTAAACAAAAACATAACAATTATTTTTTTAACTCTTTAAGAGAGTATACAAATTTAAGTGCTATTTAACTCTTTAGTATTTTGCATCAGTAACATTTCATATTCCCATCTATTTATCTAAGCATTCTAAAAGACAAAAAACTCACTAAATTACTATTATTGTGCCACTACATAGATTAAAAAAATTACAATGATAATTATTCAAAGTAAATGTACCCACCTGCTGAATTTGCAACATTATTTGAATTTAAATATTATCAATAAATATAAATAAGCTTAGAGTTTAATACAGTCTAAAATAAATAATTAATAAGTAATAACAAACCAGTTGGATTGCCAGGATTAATAACCACAATAGCTCTAGGGTTACAATGTTTTCGTGCTTCATTTATTGATCGTTCTAATTCATTCACATCCAAACCCCAATTTTTATTTTCATCTAAAAAGTATCCAACCTAATAAAAACAACCCAAATTAACTTAATAATGATTAAAAAATACTTATCACCAATTAAATCTTTTATAAAAATAATAATGAAATTATTATTATTATTAAAAGATACATAACAGAAGAATCTATTAAAACCGTTTAAGTATAATCAATTAATTTTCAAATTGATGAATAAGTAAAAATAATTGAAATTTGAAATCAAAGTTCCTAATAAGTGATTAATATCCTAATTAAAAACTATCAAAAATATATGGTCACAATATTTTTTAATAAGCTTTTTAAATTTTAGATTTTAAAAAATTTGTCAAAATTTCAAAATTTACAATTTCATAATTCATGAGAAATTAAAATTGTTGTCTATATTATATTATGAATTTTACGATATCCAATAACATTTGTGTTTTATTTTAATTATAAATCTATTTATACTATGATCCTATTTTTACAGTTTATAATAATATTAATAGTTTTATAGTATTTATAGAAAATAATATTAAATCTTGAGATATACAAGTTAATATAATATTTTTAGAGTTGAACCTTTTTTGTTTTAACAAATTTGAAAGTTCTTTGAAAAAAAATTTTTAAAAAGAAATATTATTATAAAAAAAATATACAAATAATATATATGTATATCTAATATAAATAAATAAAACAATTAAAAAATATACATATAAATTATACAACTTTTTTGTATTCTTTGTTGTCAAAGAACTTTCTAATATCCAGTTCAACTTTTGTATCATTCTAACTATGAAAAAAATGCTAGTAATTTATTTGACTAAGGACACCTGCAGCATCTTTTAAATAATTACCATAATAATCAAGTTATTACACTAACCTGTTTTACATTAAACTCTGCTAATGTAGCAGAATATAATGGGTATTGTGGAATAGGAATTAAAACACCAGGTTTTTTTCCATCAACATCAGCAACCAATAATCGTAAAATAGACTAAAACATTAAATAGTTTAATACATTAATAATTAATTACTTTAAATTAAATTCATATAAATATTTTACTAATAAGTAATAATGAAGTTACTTAAAAATAAAATTAATTAAATGATATTGTAATATTGTTTTTAAGTTGACAACAAATAAATGACAATATATTATACTTATAAAGTGAAATATTACAATTTCAAATATTTATATAGAGTTAGTTTATTTATTTTAAAATACTTTTAATAATTCTTCATACTTATCAAACTCTTTTAAATTGAAAATTGAAATATATTGTTGAGTTTTTAGTTTTAATTTAAGTACAAACATATTGAATTTTATTTTAATTTCAAAATTACTTAACATTTACACATACTTTTTCTATTATTATTCATTACATGATATTGAAAATAATAAACTTAAAATTTAAATAAGAATAAAAATATAAGCCTTTTATTTATTTAAATTATAAATGTATACTACATATTTAAATCAAATACTAACTTTTATTCCATCTGATGCACCAGCACACAGAAGAACATTTAAATAATCACATGGAATACCATCTCTACGTTCAATATATTGGGCAACATGTTTTCTTATTATTTCTATTCCTGGAGAATCAGTATAAGACCCTAGAGTAAAAACGACATTGTATAAATGATGAATAACATAACAATAATTGATAAATTAACATATCATAAAAATAAAGTTGGGTTTTTATTATTTATATGTCTATCATAGAAAATCCATTTTAACTTATTAATGAACTTTGATAGTGAGGAATGAAAAATGTATAAAAATTGTTTAGAGTATTCTTAACATTCCTTGCAAATTTACAATAAAATAAAATTGAAGTGGTTATAAATAAGAAACTATTAATTCATTAAGCATAAATAGTTTTTAGAAAAAAAATTTTTCTTCAATATATAAAATAAAAATATGAGTTGGTTGAAATTAAAAACCTTCAGTAAAAACAAAAAAATTCAATGATTGTATTATAACCTTGGAAGTTCAAAGTATTACATCTGTACAATGCCTTTATATACCAATTTATAATAATTTTATGAATAAATGTTTTGTAGCTCAATAATAATAACTGGTAATATAAAATAATCTTAGATGGTATACACTTATTCAATTTGACAGCTCAAGGACTTATACATTAGCTTAATTAGTACAAATAAAACTTAGTACAATCTCAATACACTAAAAAATTGATATAGTAAAGCATGTGTTTCATACTCTTATTATTAACTACTAAGATTATAAACATTATGTTATTAATAATTTATAAAATATGATTATAATAAAAATTATAATATTTAATTTCTAAATCTAAAATAATTAACTAAATAATCTGAATTATAATTACCAACACTACCACCACGACATCCATCTAATATAGTTCTCGCACGTTCTTTAACATCCTCAGGATATCGATCATCATCCAACAGTTCTGGTTGAGATACCAAAGCTAAAACCTTAACAAAATTACAAAATTAAAAAAATTAAAATATTTGTTTTATTATTTAATGTATATTATATGTGTGTACAAGATTATAAGAGCTTTAAAGATTACAGTAATGTTTTGAGTCTTGAGCATTTTACTATTCCACTACATTTACTTTACTCCAAGAAACGTTTATATGCCAAAGAAGTATTTGATGATTGTGAATGTATTATTTTTAAATATCAAACTCAACTCTTATTATAATCATTTATTACTTTTGTCTGAAAGTTATGATGCCAAAGCTATTAAAAAAATTTCTTAGTTTTGAAAAAAGTATTTATAGTTAATAAAGATTTAAATTAGATTGTTGGATTTCCAATCATAAATAAAATATTTTTGAATAAATTAAAACTTATACATTTTAAAATGTTTTTACATAAAATAAACATATTGTACATCTTTATTTTATAAACTAAAAAAATAAAGAATATCTAATAAATTTAAGATTTAAATATCACTTAACTAATATAAGTTTAATAAAATATATTTATGTTAATTTTATTTTCTAGTGTAAAATGGTACCAGTAGCTTACTTAAATAATAAAATCTCTTCAAAACTCAATAGAAATTTATGTTAAATCTGCCATTAAATAAGGAAAGAATATAACAGTACCTGACGTATGAATGTTATTGGCTTTTGTCCCATTGCATGACAGTCACCAATATTTGCTTTAAGCACTTCTTTAAAAGGTTTTTCAACACCCTAAAATTGAATAATAAGAAGAAAATAAAAAAAATACATAATTATTAATAAAAATAAATATACATACCTTCTTCAATTCATTTTCAATTTCTGTAGCCCTTATCAATAACGGTCCCCGGACAGCATATTCCATAATCCTTACATTGGGATTCATATTGTCTAAATTTAATACCTTCTGATTCGACGACATATTTTGGACGGTGGAAAAGTTCTTTGATTTCACAGTCAACCTCAAAAATGGGGAAAATTCTAATTGTGACTTGACATAACGGCATATATTGTAGTTTTCCGAACATCTAACAAATTTACTAAGTCTTTGCAGTGACATATTTAAATTTTTATTTAAAAATACGAACTCAATTTGCTTTTAAATAATTAAGTAAAACAATACGGACATCAAAGCTGTTTTTTAATTTTGCATGTAATGAAATATCAAAACACTTAACGTATAAATTATGGCAAAATACTGATTAGAACAATTATGAGTAGGTATACGTTTTGTATTAAGATAAAAACAATTATTATACAGTTCGGACGTAATCTATTGACCAACAGCCAAGTGTTATCGAAAAGAAATTGGACTCAGCACAACAAAAGTACAACTTTATCGACCTTATTAAAATTGTATCGCTATATTATATTTGCTTTTTAAATTTTCCGTAAATATGTCAGTGTGCATTTATATATATATATATACATATTATGTGTTTATGTGAAAAAAACTATACATATTTATTTGTTTTCTTACCTATTTAATTACAATACAATAATACAATATTAGGTATACCTATTATTATAATGGTATAAGTCTTATAGTTCTTAAGATAAATAATCTATGTAGATGATAAGACGTCCGTGTTACTTTCACTTTTTAATTTTAAATAATATTGTTGTTATTATTATTATTATTACAGTAAAAAAGTCATTAAATTTACCGTGAACGGTGTGAACCAGTATAGCCTAAACGGTGGAGCTAAAGTACGGTACCTACATTTAATACACTATAGTACTTCTATATTATAACAACACACGATCGAACTCACCATTCACTAACATAGGGTGCGCACGACTTTTGAGGGAGTTATGACCGTTTTGACGGGTTACGCTCGCCCGAGTGATGGTCGTCTGATAATATCATACACAACGTTCAAGTCAATCAAGACTTTTGTGATATAATTTGTCAGGGACTGCGCGCAGTGTGTCAGTGGGGAATGTGCGGTTGCCGGAGAAATCATTATAGCCTCGCATAGTCGCAAGTCGTTATATCCATATACATATCTTATGCCTGTTGACCTATATATCAAATATTGCACACTGTTGTGTAGTCGCGCAGATATTATGTGCAGAAATACATATTATTATTATTATTATGTCGTGGTCGTTGCTGTAGACTCGAGTTATTTCTATAAATATGGTTTCGGTTTTGTCGTGCCGTATATTACGATCGTACGTTGTAAATAACAATAAATTGTAACAATACTATAATATACCGTGCTAATGACTAACTGTACGCGAATAATAATTAACAGCAATTGTGTGGCGACGAGTTGACCAAAATAATTAAAAATCAAATGAATGAATTAATCATAAAGATTAAAAAATACAGTATCATGGTGTAGTTAGCTGTTCGGCGTTCACACGATAATAATAATGTGTAATGTAGACATGCAGAGTATTTATAAAGGGTCCGTCCACCATTCAGTACTATTATACAAATTTTTGTCATACATTGTTCTTTTGAATAAATATAATAAATAAAAATTATAATTTAAAATCACAAACTATCTATATTATGTGTATTATGATTTATGGGTACTCAATTATTTTTTTTAAAACTAATCGTTCGAATATTGATTTAGATACATCAATATTTTAAAAAAAAACCTCATCTCAAAAATTTAAGAACCTAATAATTGTTACTTATTTGTAAAAAAAAAATATATCACACAACATTCCTTAAATTGTATAAATTCAGAGTAAGCTTGCTTGGTGATACACTCTGTATATACGCATAGTCACGAAGTTATATATTTCGTATTACATTTTTTTATATTTATATTAAGTTGTGACTTGTTATTGATTTTTTTAATATTAATTTTTTTATTTTTGGTTTACCTAAATAAGGATAATTATGATTCAGGTAGCTAATGATGACAGCTCGTACAATTTTTGCTAGGATAAAATAGTGTTTACTTCGTTAATCTAAACTTTAAGTGTTATAATAGTTATTGAAAATCCATTCGTTTTTAATATTCAATATTTTATACTTATATAGGTACTTAATTATTTTTTTAGTACATTATTCCGTTTTAGATTATAATAGATTATAAAATTTAGGTTACTATTTATAAAAAACAAATGGTAATCTTAGACTAATAGACAAGCATGATATTATTTTAACTATAAATTATGTACAGTACCTACCTATACTAGTATACTATTAGCTATTAGATAGGTACATGATTTCCTTGAACACCTATAAACGACTATGGTGCTAATGTGCTATAGGTATATTTACTTGTTATAATCAGTAATTGTTAAAAATATTTTTCAAATGTAAGTACTTAGAATTCGTATTATTTACCCAAATGTATTTAATAAATAATACATATTCGATTACTTTATAAATATATTCAAAATATTCAAAATATTAAATTTCTTTTGTATTTTAATTAATTAAAAAAATTGATGTTTAAATATGCATTATTTGTACGTTAGTTATAAATAGATACTTATGTTTATTTATAAGTATTTAAATTAAATAGTTAATACTCGGCACTCGCATACTAAATAAGTTCATACATCTTAGGTGTAAATATCATAACTTAGTTAAAATTTAATCACGAGAATTAAACTTTAGCTTAGTTAGATATATATTTTAGCTATCCTTTCATTTACTTATATTATGACATCTTATAAATTCTTATAAAGCTATTATAAAATATTATTCTATAAATAAAATTTAAAATACGAAAAAATATGTTTAGTATTCTATAAAAATAAAAATAAGCAAGTAGTGAATACCGCTCTGCTGTACATTAGGTGTCGAGCGGATCATTATTATGAATGTGTTAAATTTTAAAACAATAATATATCATTCTATACCAAAAACGATATTGAATAGCCTGTCTGCCTATATCACTAAGTGTGTTATGTATTTTTGATAAAGCAATTATTAAGGTAATTTATATTACTTTTATTTAGTTCTAGCAATAACCCAGCGTTGCTTTTTTTTATTTTTTGTCCATTTAACAACAGCATTTTAGACTAAAAGCCAAAATCTCATAAAATTTCAATAGCGTAAACCAAAAAAATGTGTACTGATATATAGTATATCAATTATTCACTAAAATACTAATTTCTATTAATAACTAATAACTGGTAACACGGATAAAAAATAAATAAATATCCTTAAATGCGTACTTGCTGATTATTTATAAAATTAATAACTTAATTTTTTCGTTGACTCATAAAATCAGAAATAGGCTTAAAACCTATTCTATTATGTACTCTTTCATTAAAAAAAATAAATAAATCAAGATAATTTAATGAGTAATTTAAAAAACATGTACGAAAAAGATTTCTATTTTTATATTTACATATATTTTTTTTATAAATACATAGATTACTGTATGTAATTTATTATAATTGGTATTTAATTATTATAATGATATTATATAATAAATATTTGTACTATATTTATCAACTTATATAATCTTTTAATAAATATCGTAAAACAGTAAAATTAGAATCATAATATAAATAGATAATATTTAAAAATAAATTAAAATTGTCATTGCGTATAATAATATACGTATACGTAAATGTTTTTACATTTTCACGAATAATGTTTTTAAATTATAATAAAATGACATCGTTATTTATCCTTTTAATAAGTAATTTCATCAAAATTTAAACTTAAAATATCTATTTAGTATAATTGCCTTTATATATTTTTGAGATTTTATGATTTCATTATGAATATAAATTGTAAATAGAAAATGATAATATAAACATTAAACCATCTACTTATTTTCACATTATAACAAAACACAAAATCAATTTAGTCCTGGTTGTAAAGAAAAAGTACCGAGGATTTTTGATTTTGACATCTTTTTAAAGTGCAAACTAGATTTAATTTTATACCAGATACTACCTCTCATTTTTGAAAATTGAATCATTTTTACTACCTCAAAAAATGTTTATACACAAAAAAGCAACAAAATTAACAAATTAACAAAATCAGCATTATGAAATCAACGAATTCATCGTTCCATTAAGAATCTAAAAATCATTACACTTACAACATTTTTAAAAATTAATTGGTAATATGTATACACATAAATTGACCGAGAAACAAAAATAAAATAAAAAAATAAGACATATTACATAATAAATTAATAACACACATTTTTAGACTCATATTATATTTGTTATTACGTGCTATTGTGTCATAAAAAACTAAAACATATAGCGTAAGTTATATCTAAATCTTGTATAAGCACACTAAAGCAACATGACGTCACAAATACCTCAAAACACCTCTCACCGTAAGTATTTTATTTAACTAATAGCGGTGAGGTGGAAAAACTTGACTATAAAATTAACATAATGTGAAAAACGTATTAATTCACACGCTATTTTATACTTTCAGAATTTTTTTAACGCACCCCATTAATTAGAAACGGAAATATAAGTTGTAGTTATGGAATGAATAGTCTATATATTATAATTTTAATAATCGTTGTTACCTATGGATATTAACTATAGTAGTCCAATTAAAAATTGTTTTATAAATGTCAGGATTCAATAAAAATATAGTTGATTATTTTATAACACAGTTTAAAATCAAAATATTTCCAAATAAAGTCGATTATTAAAACTTAGAATCGATTAAATAACCTCAGAAGAAATGTTTTGCGTGCTATATTGCTATCATAATTTATTGATAGTTAACTATAGTGAATAGATCAACAATTATACATATACATGGAGGTATATTTTTACTATAATTAATATAATTAGGTATTTTATATTCTGTGATTTAAGTTACTCAGTTGACGTGGTTAAAAAAAAATCAAGAAATAAATTAGAACAAAATGAACCGAAAAAAAATAAATAATACCAGGTCAATGATCGTTGATCACAATACTAATTACTTACAGCTGTTGACTAAAGTAGGATGATTAGATGACCAAGAGATATCTGAAAATCTAGGCTTTTAAAGGGATTATTGTTAGTCCATTCAGTCCAACCATTAACACTATTGCATTATAGCTGATTATCTTAAACTTTAAAATCAAAGTTAACTTATAATTACTGTACATAAATACATAAATAAAAATTTATTATCCTTATTAATATTTGAATTTATAATTTAATAATTTTTCTCGATTGGATGAGTTATTCTATTATTTAATTAATACGAAATTATGTTTTGGAGTCGATATTTCTCAATTCCTCATTTAAAATCTCGATTTTAATAATTTAATTGGTACATACCTATTATATTATTCTTATGATGTATTCTGTTTGACGCACTCTTTTTAGCACTTTCTCTCTTCGGTAGTCTCTGTTTTGTCACAACTTACTATTTCGTGTAACGTGTAAATGCCTACTCGTGACTATTTGATTTGGCCAATATTAACAAATTATCAGTGTTGGCGTGGTGCACTCGCGCGTGACAGTGTCGGGCAATGAACACTAAAATCGCCAAATCTAAAACACCATATTAACGTTTTTTTTTTTTTTGTAATCTTTGCGTTAATATATTATATAAGTGGTTATAATAATATGGTAAGCACTGTAACTATTGCCATACGAAAAATAATTAAATATTTAGTGTGGGGAAATAATATATACTTTAAACCTAGTAGTAAATGTAAGCAAGGCGATCGGGGATCAATGGGATTATTTTGTGCCCTTGAACCAAATGTGTATAATATCTATGTAATCTTTTTCAAAACAGCAATAAAGAAGGTATATTAAATTATGACCTATCAGTAATTTGTGATGATATGAACATTGAACGAGCAAAATAAGTACTTGTTAAGGTGTTGATTTGGTCGCAACACTTAACTACTTCTATAAAATATATCTATACAGGTATGATAGCATTATGAACCACAAACTAAAGTTAAATTCAATAATATTATTTCGATCATGACAAGATAATAATATTCTATGCGTCACGATTAAAAAAAAAAGCTTTCCTACGTATGTGCCATGTGGTAAAGGTACGACTGTACGAAGTACCTAGTACCATTGATTATAGAATAGTCTATTCTATAATCAATGCTAGTACCTACATAATAGGTAATGAATCAATAATAGGTACATTAATAGATAACGTTAACACAATATATACAATTCATAGGTTAATACCTACCTATTTATTAATTATTATCACTGAGTTTCAGTATATATAACAGTGGCGTATATAGAAATTAATTTCCGGGGGGGTTAAAAAAAATTTATTTACCTAATCAATATTATAAACTAACTTTATTTTAATAATTATAGACATTTAATTCATTTAAATCAGTATTACTATCAATTTTGCTATTATTGATAGTAGTGGATGAACAAGGATTATCATCATGTTTTTCAGGCTC